AAGAGCCAATGAAAACTCGTACTGAGAACAAGCCAACTACCCAAAGCGCGGGAAAACGTGGGCGACCAAATCGTGGTTGGGTTCACGTTTGCATCTGATTGGTTGATGGAGTGGCGCGAGTTTTCTGGACCAATCACAGAGCAAAGTAAAGTAAAACTAATGCAATCCCGGATTACTTTCGACGCGCAAGTGAAAACTTCTCTGGTGAGTAAAAGTCAAGTACTCGTGTAACCATTTTTGACAGTAACCTGTCACGGGGAAGACACTATGAAGCCCTTTTGACCTTATTAGTTTAAGAAAGAGTCAAACAAATTATTAAATGCATTGAAATCGTATCACTGAATTTTTCCTTCAAAAATATATGATAAAAAAATTATCTTGCAAGCTCATTTGGAGTATGTAAGTTATATAGAAAGGTAAGTTGGATTATGTAATGTTTTGAGGAAGAACTAGCAAGTGGCAAGATTGTCTAATTATATTATTTCATTCTGTTATTTGATGATAGAAATCTCAATTTAAATACATTTGCGAGCGAAAAACCTGAAAATGATTGTTAGACGAAATTTCTAATTTTATCATTTGACTCCCAACAAACACTGAAACTCGACGCACCTTATCACAATTACCAATGCTACAGTAGTATCTCTATGAGAATTGTTTCCTTTCCTTCAGGTCAAGAAACAGTTGAGAATTTTGCTTGTACCTAGAAGATAAACACCAATTAACGATAGCGAATGTGGACTATCAGTAACCTCTCTGCTTACAATTTGAATCACTTCAATATTGGCTTTTCGATATATACAGATATCTCTTCTCGTATTTTTTCACAAAGGAGAAATGAGTATTTCACTTATATTGACTAAAATATCCATTTTACATCAGGCCACGAATTTATCAGGAACAAATCGCGTTTGTCTGTTTGTTTTTTATCTGAACAATAGTTCCCCAATGTCTACTCACAAGTCTAACGTCTCAAAGAGATGGCTAGTTTTATTGTTAACAATCGACTGGATGGTACTTAGTTATGGTAAAGAGGTAAGTAATTATGGTAAAAATCGAAGTCAACTCCTGCGATTATCTATAGAACAGAACAGATCCAGCCATAGGTTATGAGGGGGATGAGAAGCAATGTGAGGCTACGATATTCCATATGTTAAGAGATGACCATCACGGGGCTGTTTATGACTGGCTGTACACTAAGTCAGAGTAGAAAATAGACCGTTCATTCTTGCCTGTTTTCCATCGTCGCCATGCATTGCTTCTTCGTAGAAAATTCCATGCTAAACTTTACAGGTCGTTTGTATCCGTGGTCAGTGACAAGAGCCTTGACTCGAATTATACAAATGTGAATAGATGAATACTTTGCGGATTTCTTATAACAGGGCTTGTGCTGACTCGAAATTTTCAGCACGCATTGTCTGCTCATTACATGGTCCATGAAATTAACTACCATATGAATTTTTTTACACATGATTTTAGTCTCAGGAAGATACTTTTAAGGAGGTTATACTTCGTTTTAAATTTTAATCTACCTGCTTTTGATAACAGAGTATCCGCATAGTTGTCAGCCTTTCCTTATTATTTCATTTTTGAATTACTGTTGATAAAAGGCATACATAATTTAACAGATGTTCCTCTAAATCACCAGAATGGCGCACTCGTCAAAAGAGACACAACACTTGAAAACGTGAAGGCGATGTACAACAGATTCGTGAGTGATTCAACTGGAAAGGTAAGTTGAAGTAAGGGACTTCCACTGATTAAGATGGTCATAAAAAGTCCACGGAGTCATAAAAAGACCCCGGAGTCTTAGAGTGGGATCACGTCGCACAATGCATTGTCACAAAATTGCTTTTTAATGGTAACATTTTAGTTAACGCACTCGGTCTAGATTAGGAAACGTATTATGAAGGCGGGAAAATGTGGTCAGTTAATTAGACTTCCGGAGGAAAATAGTTTGAATACGCAGATCTTCAATTCAAACCTATGTTACCCGCCCAAGGAGAGGAAATGTTACAAAGTTCTTCAAATTGTAATATTTCATTTTACTGAATGACCCAGGCAAAGTATGCTGACGCAGGAAATAACGCTTGCTCAATGGACTTGCCGCCGTCTATAACCAAAACACCAGGGATAGTTCATGTGGCTGCATCAAAGCATGACTTCCAGGGTTCTCTTGGATGCGGAGTGTGTCTTAACATTGTTGGAAGTGGAAAACCTGCTGCAGCAGATCTGGACGGCTCACCACCGGTTGAAGGAAGCTTAAAAGGAATAATCGTCGACCAAGACGATTCACTGAATCAAGGTGCTGACAGCCTTTTACTGTAATTCTGATGACGTTTCTGATTATGTTGAATATTTCAATTGCTCTGATGGTCTCTGAGAAGTTCTAATAAAGCATTTTTTGCTAGAAATTTTGAACAAGATCATGGCGCATACTCGTTGAATGATACAATTTGATTTTTTCATGGGAGATCATGGCTCTCAGTGAGATCTGAAACAAACCCAATTCTATCCTTGTTCCACCTTAGGAGACCTGGCTATTCTTCCTCCACAGACTGGAAGTGGTCTTTGGGAAATCAGCTTCAAAGCTGCTGACTGCCCATCGGCCCAGGGACCAACAGGATACATTCAGTTTCGTTTTACTGGCAGTAATGACATGTATTTCAAACTGCAAGCCACAAATGCTAAGTAAGTAACGGCACAAGTATGTTTCGCCGTTAGCAACCTCAGTGTGACCTACCCACGTACACCAACCCATAAAAGACCCACCCGTTTATCTTTCTGTTCGATTACCAAACGTTTCCATGTATCTACTGCTATATAGAGTTCCTGTGGCTGGCATTGAAGCTTTTGAACGTGTAAAAGGCAAGTGGTTTTGCCTCACAAGAACGACAAATAACTTCTTCACGAACGAAGGAATGGGTGCTGTTTCATTTCCACTGAAGGTGCGCCTGACAAGTGTCATGAATGAACAGCTGGAGGCGACAATCAACGCCCTAGAAAACGACAAGGTTATCAATTCTGATGTTCAGTTCTCAGACACTGCAATGAGAGGTGAGAGACACTAAGAGTTCTCCTGATTACTAGACCAGAAGTAAACTCTTCCATACTTAGTTGATCAAATTCGTTTGAAATTCTTATTCATCAGTTGATGGGCTGATTCGATAATCAGAGAAGCAGTTTTTTTGTCCATGTTTCCTAATAGAAATCTGCTGTCTTAATCAACGTAATTCTGGTTTCATTTTGGCTGTGTAAAAAACCTTGAACTTAAATATTAATCTCCTACGACTCCCATAGGTGGATCACCAGAAGGAATTAAGTGTAAAATTAATCAACGTAATTCTGGTTTCATTTTGGCTGTGTAAAAAACCTTGAACTTAAATATTAATCTCCTACGACTCCCATAGGTGGATCACCAGAAGGAATTAAGTGTTATGGTCAAGGTGACAGACCTTCTACACCTGAAGGTACGCGTGCACGAGGTTTCCTTCTTATTTCGTGAATCTATTTTACAAGAGTCTCCCTTTTACGCCTCTTTTTTAAAACTTATCAAGCTCTCATAATGTGTGGACCGGCATAACAAGAACGTATCAATAATATAATACAAATTTCATAATATTGGAATGTAGATCTGGCCTCTAAATTCCTTTGAGTGAAACTTTTCATTGGCTTTTTTTTTAGTTGAAGGCTAAACGTGATTTATTTCCGTGGCTTGACAATGGAAGAAATATATTGTTATCTTCATCCATCCCGAGCTAAGCTTCGATCTGCCTTTGACCGCGCGCTAGATTCTTGATCTGATAGTAAACGCATACCCAAACACCCATCTATGAAACAATATACCTGCACTATCACTCGTGAGAAATTCAAAGTTTGTTGTATTTTTCTCTACAGTGAAAAGTTATTCCAGTTAATTAGAATATGAAAGCTACATGCAAAGACCGTTATTTGATTTGATTCTCAATAGGCGATGAAGGGTTCTGCGTGTCCAAAGAGGATGGCATATACGCAGATCCAAAAGACGAGACCGCTTTTTATGTTTGCCAAGGTGAAAAGGCAACAAAGAAATTTTGTCCAACTGGACTAAAATTTAATCCAGTGATATCTTCCTGTGATGTGCCGGAAGATGTAAAATTTGTTAGCGCTGAAGCTGAATCTGGGGGGCCATTTGACTCAAAAGAAGGCAGTAGATGGATTTCTTTACCAGGTGATGGTGGCTTGAAGGTTTTTTCTGTCGGTGAAAGTGAAAAACCGACTAAACAAGATGACAAGGTGATTTCAAAGGTTTCACACCCGCACAAGTTGTTTTCAATCAACATATTCAACGGTGTCCAAAGTCATGCAATACAGCAGCCCCCTGGAGGAACACAAAATAAACTTGCGAGTCCTGTAAGATACCAAGGACATTTACAAGATAATGTGGTAAATATCATGTCAGTGGAGTCACCTCCACTAAATGGAAAAGCCAAAAAGCCCGTAATGGTGCCAGAAACGGACGTTAAATCCAAGAGCCAAGAGGGCTTGCGAAATACTACCAACCAAACGATTGAGGACAATAATTCAGTGTTGCTAACACAAAAATTACAGCCAGTGATTAAAGGCAACATGAGCCAGAAAATAGATCAAAAGGATTGGCGAAATGACGAAGGACACATGAAAAATTTGAGTGATTCAGCAGATAATAAGAGTTTGGCAAATATTTCTGAAAACCATTTATCTCCAAATGATCTAGGTCATTTCAGTACAACTCCTCACAAGTTGTTTGCTATAAATATCTATGGTTCACATCCTCAACTTCCAAGTGTGCATCATGAAATGAAGACTACCACTGAGAACAGACAGGATGGGGAACATACCATAGAACCAGTAGATGAGTTTAGAGACACCAATTCCTTCGCTGACAACGGTCGGAAAGTTCTAGTTGACTCATCAGAATTTCACATTGGCAAAGGTGAGATGTTAAAAAATCCTGGCCAGCTTACAACTGATATCAACGAAAATAACTCAGAGAATGCCAATTTTGGGGGCAAGACAGATTCATTTAGTACTAATGATTCAATTAGTTCGATGCCACTTCACTTTAAACTTAAGATTAAGATGGACAACAGTGGAAAACAACCTGTGATTAACTGCACTCTGTCCGAATGCCCTGAGAATGACTTCGCGATACAGGAAGATAGGACGAATACCTCAACGTCGCCAGTAAATGGATCAAAACCTGAACCTATTGTATCGCCGCAGAAATTATTTGTCAGCCAGAATAATTCTAAACTTGGAGATTTTCGAGTAACGTTTAAAACTGGTCAGCCAGAGTCAATGAATCAGAAACAAGAAGTGAAAGAATCGCGTGCACCCCCGATGAATTTAACAAAAATTATAATACCACCTTCTCATATGCAGGATATAACAAACCTTTCCCAGCAGAAAAATGCTTCTAAAACTCCCATTCAGCAGTTAAAAAGTTCTTCTAGACAGCAAAATGGAGACGTGCCCACTTTACACAATAACGATACGGTATCATTAGAAACAAATAAAAACGCAGAGCAAGGGCAAGTGAAAACCGACGACAATACAAAGACTATGAAGATCAGCGACAACAACAAACCTGACGAGATGAGAGGGGCAGAGCAAAAAGCAACTACAATGGACGAGAATGCTGCAAGCAACATCCAAAACTCTTCTAATCTAAAAGTTTCTGTGGGTGAGAAGTACGAAACTGGTAACAACGTAAAGGACCCAGTTGTGACTGGGGGCCCAGTTCAAGAACCTGGCAACGCAAAGGCCTCTGATAAATTCAGGGAACAAAAACAGATTTTTACGAACAACAAGTTTCAAGCCAATTTACAATTGGACAGTGTAACAAAGCAACTAGAAAATGCTAATATGAAAAGTCCCTTTCTTGAGCAAGAGCAGCTAAGTCCTCACGATTTTGTTCAAATTCAGAGCCGTCCACAACTAAAGATAATTTTAAAAACTCCTGGGAGAATTTTGAATCCTCTGAACAGACGGTCAGGTGCTAAAGGTCACATCGTGCAGATCTTAAAAAGCTTGATCGATAGGCCGCTTGAGTTAGATTCTAAGGGCAAGGAGGTCGTTTCTATGTTATCCAGTTTCACCAACAAAACAGTAACAGGAACGGCTCGAGAGAGAATATCTCAAGATGATTCCAAGGCAGTGGAAGATGGTGGAAATATCGCCCAGAGTATTTTAGAAGCAAACAAGGAATACCTTGACGCTATTGCTACGCAGGGAATGGTATTCAGTGATGGGGATCCTGAAACAGAGAATATGACAAGCATGGATGGCTCTATTAATCACAGTCATGGCTATCAACAGCAGGAATATGAAGCTTCTAGGTGGAAAAGTCCACACACAGAAGGAGAAGATTCTTCAACAGAGCCCCAAGAGCATAGCCTCGGCATTAATACTCAGCAAGGTGATTCGGTCCAGGGTGAGTATTTGATAACTCGACTTCAAGAGGACGGAGGCAGTGGTGAGTAATCTTAAATTTGTTTTGTCACCGTAATGGTTCGTCAAAATGATAAAAAAGAAAAAACAAATAAGTTTGCCAAAGAAAAATCGGAAATCCGAAAGGGAACAACATGAGAAAATCGCAAAAGACAATGAATTGGATTGTGGTTTGTTTGGAAACAGAGGTCGTTTACCTTATTATAATACTCATACCATTTTTCATTTGGTCATGGTTTTGCCAATAAATAAAAGTGGTCTCGTAGAGCTTGAGATCGTCTGGTTTTTTTTTTTTGTTATGTTTGTTTGTTTGTTTGTTTCATATCTCAGCCCCTCAACTGCGTATGTAGGATTATGTAGCGGACTTTCTTAGCGCCCCTTCTCAGGCTCGAACCCCGACGGATGGAAGAAACAACAATATCCCTTCTCGTCTCATGATACATAAAACTGGACAAGATTATACCGAGCGTAGCTTATGTAAAAAGGGGGTAAAAGACTAACAGAAAACATTTCTTGGTTTCAGGTGAAAGTGTTAGTGGGATGGGAACCAACAAAAACACTGGGTCGGTTAAACCTGAACACGATAAAGGATCCAAAGGCTTGCCTAACAGAGCAGGCAGGGTGTCTGTCACAGATGGACTGCCTGGAGTATCAGAAATGAACGCTTACAAAGGAGGGATGCGCAAACCAAAAGTTGATTCACGTAGGGACAGTTTTATCATACAATGAATATTATTCTCTCTGTATCTCTGAATTAAAAGGCAAAACATGCGAAAAATACGCGTATGAGTGAAATGAAGGTAAACTTTGTAAAGAAAAACGTGCAACGGAAAAAATCAAACCTAAAAACCAGTGCAGGATTGAGGCTCAGATCTTTTGATTTGACTATCGAATATTTCACTGAGCAACAAGCGAAATCGAAGACATAGTTCTAATAGCCTCAAAAGCGATAAGCCTCTTGCATGATGATAGGGTATGGGAAATTGTTGAGTTACGATTATGACACAGTAACATTCGACTTTCTTCTTTTAGGATTGAAGTCCTTCTGCATCGGGAAGTCAAGCGGAATCTACACAAATCCTTTCGAACAAAAGAGCTTTGTCGTCTGCTCTAATGGAGTGTCAGAGGAGAGACAGTGTCCTGAGGCCATGTTGTTTAACCCTAAAGAAAAGATGTGCGATGTGCCAGATCAGAGAAACACCATGAGGACAAAGAAAAGGAAAGAAACCACCAAAAAATGATTGAGACGTTCTCGTTGATGATTCCTTCTTCACAATATTTGTCTCATGGAAAAATGACCTTCCTATGAAAATACATGTTCAAGTTAAAACGTATTGAAATTTCAATTCAATGAAAAATTACTTCATGAATAACATCTCCGTTTGCAGTCCCGCCCCCTTCCCTACACAACAAGACAAGTCTGCATTTATTTTCCAAAATGTAAATGTATATTTCTAGCTTAACTATGGAAGACAACTAACGCCAATAAAACAGATTGTCCCTTTTAGTTGTGATATTTAAGTGTGTATAAATATTTGATCCACTTGGATTAAAAGCCGAAATTCTTGGAAGGGTTTATCTTAGTCATCAGATATCTACAAAAGCAAAACAAGAGGAGAATAAAAAGAATCGTCACCTGAAGAAGACCTCGGAATCTTTCTTAGCTTTCAAACATATCTTTAAATGTGGCTTTGATAGCACACAAAAACAAAAATCCAAGTAACATTGACTTATTCTTAGGCTTATAAATATGAAGCATGGACACTCTTTTGCACAAGCTAGACAAGTCTAATTGAATGACAATTTAAAATTTAAAATTAAAAAAAAAAAGGAAATAAAACGTGGCAACACTCCTGATTTAATTATATGTTTTTCGAAAGCCATCTGACGACTTGTAATCAAAACTGGAAGGAATAAAAGAGTTTGTCTTTGAGCCTTACCAATGATAAGCCTGACTTTTCTAGTTAGCACATTTTGTTGATCTGATGCTCTTTCGTTTCTACCAGAAATAAATCCTTTTTAATTTGGAGGAACGGTTCTAGATGACGCTGAGAATGATATCTAAAATTGCCCTGCATCTGCTGATAAACTCATGATTTGTTGCCAATTCAAAGGAAAGTTTCCAACGATATTATGTATGAGTGTATTTGCATAAATCCAAAGATGTCATTCGGTTAACTCGAATCACTGATTATTTTAAAACGATTTTAACTTCCATTGGGCTTTAAAGAACTGTTTTTTATATATGATTCAATTATCAATAGCTATCGATGCCGTTGAGAATCAAAGTGCTCTGTGAGCAAACTCGTGAATTGACATATTATTTTTTAGATTATGTTTAATGTTATCTGGTTTAGGGAATTTTGTGGTTGATTGTCATATCTAGAGTACGAGCAGTACTTCAGTGTTCGCTAATGTAGCATAGAAACAAAGTAACGTTGGGATAAGAAGGCATTACAATTGAAATGATCATGCTATTACATTTGACAAGGGTGGATGATGTCATGTGTTTTAAACGTCTATCATTTTTGTTTCTGGTTCAAAAGAAAAGGTTGGAAGTAAATGTGGGTGAAAAGTGAAATTTACTGTCTTTCATTGTAAATATTAGAAAATAAAGGCAATATTGTCTAATGAAAACATTAACGATTCCCTCTTTATCAAATGAGAAAAAAGGGGACGAGTTTTGAGTGATATAACTAAGCCAAGCCTGCCACCGTCATCTTGGATCTCCGCCTGGGTAGATTTAAGTCACGTGCTAGGCAACGTATCCTTAATAACAAGATAGAATTTCATTTCAGGCCTATTTATCAATTTTGTGGTATGTAACTTTCGCATTTTAGTACGTTGTATGTATGTTGAATCTTCAAATTGTCTTGAAACTTAAAAGAAAATTGTTCTTTAAAAATTCACTGAAAATCGGTAGCTAAAAAATTGTTTGTTTAGGTGTTATTTGATTTTCGTGTTAACTTGTAATTTCGTCAGTCGTCGGCATCTTCTGTTGCTTCACACAGGAAAAATACACGCGACGAAACGTAATGATCAATTTTGTCCTCAATCTCACAGAAAAAGCTTTTGAACATCTGTAAACTCCGAGCGCTTCGCAGTAAGTGATATTTTCAATGAATCTTCGGATTGTTTTCAAGTTCAAGGACTGTAAATTAAATTATGAAAAACGAAGGTTGTTCTGTTATTTCAGTGTGAATCCTTGCATGCCTGCTAGTCGCTGGCGCCGCTTGTTGAAACTAAAACGAAAAAAAAAACTCTTTTAAGATTATCATTGGCTTCTTTTTCACCCCACCACTATTCTTAGCAACAAAGGTCGCCATTTCGTCTGTTTATTGCTCGCCAAAAACTATCAAATGCACTCAAAAGCCTAAAATCTAAAAAAAAAGTTTACAGGAATCGACCAATCGAGCGAGCGAGCGAGCGAGCGAATGCCATTCCCCACATCGTATCTATAACTCGCTCTTGCGCATGCGCGCAATTCACGACTTAAAAATCAGGTACGCATGTAAATCATCTCTTTGCTGATTGACGGAAGTGATTAAGGGACTTATCGACCTACTTAACGACTGACTGACTGATTGATTGACTGACTGACAGAGTTAATAACTGAGAGGATAGTTTGATAGTTGACGGAACTAGCCCCTTTTCGGTGGACAGAAATCCACCATGTACACTCTTTTGCTTTCTTCAATGATTCCAAGAAATCCCATAGTTCATTTCTGCAATTGGGTCTATTTGATATTATTGTCCTTTGAAACCTGGTTTGAATCCACAGCTAGTCTCCCACACCAAAAAAAAAGTCTTTCGAAATAAATCAATAGCACCTCACAATGTCTTTTAGTTGTAATTTAGTTCAAGACCACAACAGAAACGAATGAAAAAACACGTTGCGCGAGCGATACTTTTAAGACTGGTTTCTTTGAACGCAAGGCAAATGTCTATGGACACCATAAACTGATGAATACAATCAAGAAAGAGAAAATCAGTCAGTGAAAGAAAACTCCTGTACATTGTTCCAAAAGGTAATACCTTAGCGTCTTTAAAATAACACAAAATACTTGGTATTCGAAATAACCGCGCACTTTGAAGATATTCGACATTGTTCGTAGTTGATCATGAACTATGGTGTCCACTGAGATGGAAAGTGATATGACCATATATGGATGTGAAAAAGCCTCTACAAATACCACTGACCTCTGAAATTACCCGTTAAACTGACCTGCCAATAAGGTCAAGAATAATGTTTCGTAATGTCTTTTGTGTGTTATTGTTTGTTCTTTGTTCCTTTTCGTTAGTGACAACAATGAAAACGGTAAGTAATATTTACAAACGTGTAAATTGGAACTTATATTACCATATCAGAATGCAAAGCAATTCAATTTCGGATAGTTTAAGGACTAAGATAAATATTGCGGGCGAGAAATACTCATCCAAGACCTTTTTTTTAACCACCAGCTTAAAATATCAGTACTAATTCATTTCAAGCTTTCCACTTGTTTGTTGGCGAATCTTATCCATGTACATAAGAATTTTAAGAGGCATTTCGAATTCAATAGCTTTTCATTCTTTGTTAAGGCGCGGAATATGGTCATATAAAAGTATAAGGTATATAAAAGTATAGGGAAAAAACCGTATCAGTCCATTTTACTGCGGTAATATTTGTTCAAGTTTAACACATGACTTATTTGACTGGCTAGCAGGTGATGTCGTTTTGAAGTGTACGCTCTTACGGCACCAATTACCAATTTTAATTGATAACATGAATCAAGTCTCGCCACGAATTCAGAAGTAACACAACTGCCGGAATGGTTTTTCTTCGGAGTTGGTCAAAGTATTTCATTAAGAAGTACGCAATCCACTTACTTGCTCTTATGTCTTACTGCAGAATTCTGAGTGAGATTTTAAGAGCAATGAATTTGCTAACCAGGCGGAAAAGCTTAGTGATACTGATTCTTTGGCTGTGTATAGAGTTTTCTGAGGTTTGTGATTTTGTTTTTACAAATGTACGACACCACAATTATTTATTTCCATGAAAAGATACCTTGAATCTCTTTAAGAAACACTTGTTTCCATGAAGTGGTATCGAATTGATAGTTTTATCATCCAGTCTGCTTGCTCCGTAAGACTTTTTCGTGCCTTCTTTCTGCCTGTCGTTTATTTCTCAGGTAGAGCTGTCTATGCCTATCACAGTCTATCTTCACAAAATTTATTTTGACTCGAAAGATAATTGACTATAACAGTATTTTTTGGGTCAGTAACCAAGAAGAATTATATTTAAAAAAGTGAATTATGTTATTTTACGCAAAGGCTGTGACAGACTTTCAAAATCTAATGGCAATATGGCGTCATTACAGTGGTCAACTAATGGACGGAAATGTAAGTGGCATTTTTTTCGGTGTTAAATGAAAAATAAAAATTGTCTTAAAAGTTAAATGAATTTCATTTTTTTCTGTCTCAAACTGTGATAACCTGTTTTCCGCTTGGACAAGATTGCTTCGTTTGGAGGCTGGTGTAAATTTCCTGTGTTGTTTGATATTCAGCGTCTTTTATCTTGCATGGCGGTCAGTTTGATGCACGAAGGATCCGGCCACAAAACAGTGCTAAAATAGGATAAAAATAAATAAAAAGAACGAAATATCCATACCACATGAATGCCTGTAAAGTGTGTTTTGTCTTTTGTAGTTTACGTCTGTTGATGTAACTGTTTCTATCTATCACAAAACAGAGCTCCTACAATGGTTATTACAAAGGAGGTGGAGCGTGTTCGTTAGACCCCCTAACATCAGACTACAGCCATAAGGGTTGGATCAAGGTCGCAGCAAGTGATGGAGAGTTTCAAAAATCACTTGGCTGTGGAATGTGCGTGGAAATTACAGGTCAAGGAATTCTTGCCGATCTTACTGAAAAAGGAAGAATACCAAAGACACCAATCTTAGGCCCAATATACGCATTTGTGATCGATCGTTGTGGAAACTGTAAACAAGGTAAAAGTAATCGCGTGTCAATTACTTTTCTGCATTAAGACGACAGGAAAGAATAGCGATATCTCACTCGGAAAATTTATTGAACAATCACGTACTTAGATAACCGACAATGCTACAGACCCGTTTTCAGTTTTGAGAGCCATTTGCTGTGGCATACATTAACAATTTCTCTTCTTCCTTATTTCTGGTTCCTGATACACGTTTCTTTGCGTTGTTCCTGAGGCATTTCCACGCAGTCATGAGATATTTATAGGGATCAGAAACTATGGTTAAAAAGAAGTATTCTGTAAAGGGGAAATAAAAGGAGAGAGAAACCTTGCTTCAAATACTTTTAAACGACTAAAATTTCGCATGAATGAGTTACTTTATCCCGAAAACAATAATTTAATAAATGACATCTACTTATTCCCAAGCCGAAATTTACACTCTACCGCGTCAATTTATCTCAGGGTTCGACTTGTATACCCCTGGTTCTGACCAGTGGAAGACTCAGTTCAAAGCGATCGATTGTCCAACAGTTTCCGGCATAAATGGAAACATCAAGTTCAGATTCGTGGAGAGCAACCCATGGGCTATGAAATTGCAAACTCGAAATTCCAGGCAAGTTTTATCTGTGATATATGTGCCAAATTAAAATTAAAAGACGATCACCGCCCATATATACTTTTCACTGGTAGGGTTTACAATCTGCGACTGGTCATTCTGGAGTTCATTCAATTATTTCGTTCTTGTTGTGATTAGGTCCTTTGATGAGTTTGGCGATCCATCATATAATTACCGTTACTGAAGTCAAATCTGTAACGGCTTTTATAGATGTCTCGTGATTAGTTGTACTGATCGCAATGAGTGGAGCCATATTTTTGCTGGTGACTGTCCTTATATCTTACAAAATCACTTTGTAGAGATCTCTCCACGTGATGTTCACCATTCTTATGAGCGTTTGAGGTCCAAGTTGAAACTTGTAAATACCTAATACATATTCCTACCAAATCTATTCTCTTCAGTAGGCTTTTTTACTTTCTGCTAGGGTAGTGACGGTTGGACTAGAGATTTTTCAAAGTGGGAGATGGATTTGTCTTCCGAGAACAGATGATAATTTCTTCCTGGTGGGATCACCTAATAAAATAAATTTTCCCTTGCGAGTACGCTTGACAAGTGTTAGTGGAGAGCAAGTGGAGTCGACCATCACAGAGCTGAAGAATAACGTAGATCTTACTTCTTCTGTGCAGTTCTCAGGGTTCATAAAAGGTGGGTCACAAGTTACGAATCAGCCAATAAGAGCTATAACTAGGAATATACCTTTTATGATTTGATTAAAACATCGGTAGAATTTAGGTGAGAATATGAATTATTATTAACTCCGGAATATGAAGTTGAATGAAAAATGCCATGTTGTCTCAGAGGAAAAGGGGATATTGTGTCCATTAAGTTTATCCTCAGCTACGAACAAAGTCAGAGGGTCTACGGCGACTTATTTTCAATCATCTTTGTTGGCATTTTTGTTCTTTTTGCCCATGCAACCTCAGTTCATTTTCTATCATCTGATTTAATATCCGGTTATGGGATGCATGTCATGTCATGTCACACTAGATGTTATGTTTCCCTTTTTTAACAGGAAGTGACCCACGTACGATCACATGTTATGGTCAAGGTCCTAACTCAGGAAAAAGTGACGACGAGACAGGTAGACAACTCACAAGATCGATTAAGCTGACAGTCGAGGTTATGGGTTTAAATGCCGTACTGGCCTGAATTTTTTTCAGGCCTTATTTTTACTATTGCTTAAGTAGTGTTCATTACTGCGAAGATCACTTTCATATTCATTTCTTTATCCGCAATTCACATATGCCATTTTTATGTATTTACAGTCATTCATTTATCCCTTCACGGCTTATTAGAAACCAACATACTGACCACCTCACCGCTGCACCGGCATCGCAGAGGTCATACATGCATGGGTTCAAATCCCGTACAGGCCTGAATTTTTTTTCAGGCCTTATTTTCACTACTGCTTAAGTAGTGTTCATTACTGTGATCCGCAGTTCACATAAATTATTTTCTTGTAAATTATTTACAGTCAGTCGAAATAAAGTTATCACTATATTTTATCAAAATAGTCAATAGTTAAGAGAAGTTGCTATCCCTTGCGATCAAGTCTTACCAAGAGCCATCGAGTTTTAAGCAGTTTTTTCCTCTTCACGTTCATTTTGCATTCTTGGGTTTAACAGGTGATGAGGCATTTTGCAGAGACAAACTGGATGGTTACTACCAAGATACCAGGGATTGTGTAGCATTTTATCAGTGCTTTAAAGGCACTACCTACAGACGACGTTGTAATAGGGGCCAAGTATTTAACGATATGCTAAAGTCATGTGACAATCCGACAAATTTTCCATGTCGCCAAAGATCACTCATCAGCCCTCTAAATGCTGACAAATTTACGAGTTCAGCGATATCCCCCAAGATGGAACTGAACATACATCAACCGACCCCGGATTTATTAAAAAGAGGTATGTATCTACTTTAGACACGTTGTTCGGGTTTACTATTTGATATTAACACACGCTCCGCGAGCAAGATGTTCCTAGAATTTTTGAACAAAAAATGATCGCAGAAGGGAATCTGGTCGACGATATCTTCCGATTTGAACAAGTAAAAATCGTAAAGCCTTAATTTTGTAAAAGATAAAACGTTAAATGAACAAAAGCCATGGTGGTTGCCAGAAAAGTGCATGAATTCCAAAAAAGCATAGAAGCTTCATCCTCTTATTGATCGAAAGAAACTATGATATAACATTCTTGATGAGAATAAGCATACGATTGTCTTTTTTGAAATTGAAAACTTTTGACTGCCCTCAATTTCCAGTGGACGAAACCTTCTGTGTTACTAAACTTGATGGCTTCTACGAAGACCCCAACAACTGTACATCATTTTACCAATGTCTGAATGGCAGAGCTACAAAGAGACACTGTTTGAAAGGAATGGTGTTCAATGCTTTACTGAAGTCATGTGACACACCACAGAGCTTTCCATGCCGGACGACAGAAGGCACTGAAGTTGGGCAATCAGAATCCACTGAACCGGAAGTCAAACCAACTCACCGCCAAGGAATGAACACGGGTGAAAGCCTGGGCATGAGCAATCTTGCGACGGGTAGGCATATCAAAAGTTTAGTCGAAGAAACACGATTTTTTTTATTCTTCCATCATACTAATTAAATCTAGAAACACAAAAATGAACAATTCTTCCAAATCTTTAAATCTTAAAGTGAGAATGAAAACCATCCTTTTCTGCAGCTATGTTGCTGTGGGACTGGGGCTAAAGGACACGAGACTTATAATCCAAACTGTCCGTGACAGTGTCATAAATATAAGCCCGCAGAATCCTTGATATGATACAAGACCAAAAATATAAATGGACACTTCTCAAACTCTTTCTTTGCTTTCTATCCTTTTTCAGACAGAAATGGAAACACGCCATTGACACCAGTAAAACCAGTTAGACCAGCCGTAAAATCCGACGCAAATACCAACGAAGTAATAGGTAGAGTGAGCGCTTTATATCTGCATTCGTTTTGAATGCACCGTTATATTACCGTTGACAATAAAACCACTATGAAGTCGAGATTATGAAAATCGCAAACTACATCAGCCTTAACTGAAAAAATAGATGGTGCCTTAGAGAGTGTCACTCAGTCATACAATGACCTGTTAATATTCAGAAGACGTATTCTTGAAACTTTATCTTGAAATGAAACAATCAAGCTCATAACGAAGCAATCATCGTTAACACGCAGCTGTTTCTTTCTATTCTGTATTTTAAAAGTGGACAAGGAGTTCTGCCTAGAGAGACCTAGCGGAAATTACGCGGACCCATACGACTGCTCAAGTTTCTACTCGTGTTCATTGGAAGAGACGAAGAGGGAGACCTGTCCGAGAGGTTTGCACTATAACTACAACACGGGCGAGTGTGATTGGCCCTTTAATGTTAAGTGCGCCCCACCCCCGCCCTATAAACCTCGGATACGTAAAGTATCTGTGTACAAACCAGGAAACGATAAGGCCATGACTATCAATGGATTCATAACACATATCATGGCTGTGGCAAAGAGGCGCACCATCCGAAAGGTGTAGAAGAAACACGGCTTAAGGGATGCAAGATAGTGCTCGGACTAATACACAGACATTCACGCATTTAAGGTTTCAAACTCCAACCATTTTGTAATGGGCAAACCGGACGGAAGACAGTTCATTTTGCCAATCACCTTTGATGAATGTGATTTGCGAGACAAACGAACTGATCGTTTCTAACTCAGAAATTCTCTATTTGACAACAATTAACAACAGTCTCTTTTAGATGTACTCTCATCCAGACGATCATAACGCATGATAAACTACTTTTTTCCCCTTTACGAATGCATATGGTTTAACGATGGTTAAACATATCTCCAAACAGCAAGAATGATATTTCTTAAAACATATTTCTCAAATCCACCTCTCCATGGAAAAAGTCTTTCATAAAACAGTTGCTAAGCAAAAGAAAGTCGACTACAGGGAATACACCGAGTGACGGGATTTGAGAGGATATTACAAAGTTGAAATTATATAATTTGCGTCCATAAATATTTGAGTTGCAAAGCACTTTATTAAACAATCGTTCACTTAAATAACTAGTTCTACCTTGGTTCTCTAGGCATTCAGTGGTGGTTTCGTACATTTTCAAAAAACGTAAATTTTCTAAACTGATAGTCTAAAAATATGGAGGAAAAAATGTAAAAAAACCCAAAAGAAAGAAGAAAAAAAAAACTGCTACCATAAAAGAAATTATCCGCAAAGAAATAAAAGCTAGAGTAGATAATAAACAACATTGTCTTATACTTGCAGGATGCTTTTACATGCATACATACTTTATTGCGACTCCCAACCGGGTCCATCCAGTCACAATTTTATTCTAATATTATAACAACCTAAACTACATTATCAACACATTTAGATAGCATAACAGTGTCCTATGCAGGATGTTATCAAATAGAGTTGAAGTTGTATTAAGCGGCACCGTATTAAACGGTCCCCTGTATTTAGCGGTCGGTACTCAATGTCCTGAAATTTGTTCCCCATAACTACTGTATTTTTCACCTCTATTAAGTGGTTACCCTTTACTTAGTCCCAACGGCCTGTTTGTTTTTTCTTCTACCTGTACTGAACGGTAACTTAAGAAGGAAACACTAAATAACACTAGGAATAATCTTTCACGTAAAATTTAATCCATATTTATCCCATGGTATCAATGTTGGTAAAATTATTGAACGAACTTGTGTCAATTACGGCATACAATAACGTTTTTTTCCCCTCTTCTTTTGCAAATACCCTCTTCTGTGGAACCTGTATTAGGCGGTCAATTTGTACTTGTCACTGAGCCATCCCCGTGGGTGACCGCTTAAAACAGGTTTGACTGTACTTACATCCTTTAACGGTAACTCTCAACCGGGTTTTTTCAGTCACAATATCATTACAATATTAAGTCTACTTGTTCCAAATAATAAACCTATTTATATACAATTACAGCATTGCTGAAAAAAAGAGTCTCGGGCAACTAAGCCTTGACTCGCTGAAGCTTCTTTCTTACTTTATCAAGCGTTGGCTTATAAAATTGAACAACTGTTACAGTAAATTTGACCAAAAATAAAAGCAATTATAAAAAGTAAAAGATTCTTTCTGTCCACGGATATTAAATTTTATAGATCTGTCTAAAACGTGACAATATAATGAGAAGCAGTTTTGGCAATGCGACAGTTCTGTCACGTTCCGTGAAATGGCCCAAATTCAAAAGAATGATAAGTGGTCATACATTAGATCATGTAAAAACCTTTCTTAGACTAGCTGTTCTAGTTCTTCAATGATGTCTTCCATACTGGGTCGCGCCTCAGGATCTTGATGAATACATCGACGAATGAGACCTCGAAGAGTGCGATCTGTCACCATGGCGACCTGCTGGTCACGCCTGTCAGGATCTGGCAATTCCCGGATGCAAATCTCACAAAGGAGAACTCCGAAACTATACACATCGACCTTGAAACAAAATAAATAGACAAGAAGAGTAAAAAAATATATTGCTTTGGCGGAGCGCCTTGGAAACTGCTAATCCTAAGTTTCGTTCGTATGCCGAAGTATTTTCCATAATTTTAACCAGTGGATACCTCTCAGGAAAGTTTATGTTCATTTTATCAAAATCTCATCATGAGTCCTAATAAAACGGCTCGTGGACGACTTTAAAACTGATATATACCAGACATACCTTCACAGTTTGACTTTTAGTGTGGGCTTCAGGTGCACTGTAAATCATAGCACCAGGACCTACTGTCATAGTCTGCTGCATAAAGTTAGCAGTTCCATAATCTGACAGTTTGCCTCGCCATCGGTTAGCTTGTCGCCATAGCAACACATTGGCACTGCTGATATCACGGTGAATTATGGGAGATGGTTCTTTTAAATGAAGGTAGTTTAATGCTAGAGCTACATCCAGAGAAATAACAGACACTTCAGTACTGGAAAGAGATTGTTGCTCTAACAATGCTCGTAAACTCGATTCCATGAGCTCTGAGACAAAGAGAGGACTTCCTTCATCGTTTGTTGCTCCAATGAACTGCAGCAAACACGGATGGCGGCATCGTGACGCAATGTTCATTTCTCGCTCGAACAATCTCCTATTATGAGGGGACAGAATCATCTCGTGGATTTGTTTGACGGCTACGACACAGCCACGATACTTTCCTTCGACAACACTTCCCCAGGCTCCCCTCCCAAGGCACTTATCTGTAAGTTGAATTTGATCGCGTGATATGATCCATTCAGGTGCCTGTTGGCGTGGATTTTCATTTAACACTTGCTGAGTTGTTGAAAGAGATATCTCCAGTTCATTTACTTCTTGATCTTTAATCCTCAGCTGTCTCTCCAAGGCAGTAACTTGATTCTGCAAATTATTTGCTTCCCGATCTCTTTGTTGTAACTGCCCTTGGACGTCTGCAAGCTGCTGTGACATCTCCCTCAACTGTCTCTGCACTGCTTTTTCCCTTCGAAGGTTTGTTATTTCCGCTTCTTTTTCTAGCAGCTGTGCTTGGAAATGTGTCCGCTGCTGGCCTAGTTCTTCACTTTTCACTCTCAGTTGTTGTTCTGCCGTCATAAGCCGCCTTTGTAAAACAATATTTTCTTCTGTTGTAGGTGCTCTTCTTGGTATAGGGTAATTCAGCAAGTTTCCAAATTGTTGCCACTGGGTCACTGGGCAGGAGGAAAAAAATGTGCAGTATTGTTAACCAGGAGCCGAAATGCGCGCGTTCTAAATGGCTATGAGCTAAGTTAGTTGTTTTTGGTTTAGTTATATTTTGTTTTGTCACTGTTGTTTTCTTCTTGGTAGACAAAGAGCTGTTGCTTTAAAAGCTCTAAAATTCATAACCGCAGAAAAACATGAGATAGTTAGGAGGACACAACAGATCCTGTGGTCTGGTAGGCTCATGTTCCAGAGGAATAGATGAATGTAACGTCACGTATATGGAATTAATAGAATTGCATTCATCAAAAACATTACTTAAAGCAAGACGTCAAAGAATATCAAAAGATACGTAAAATTACTCTCTACATAGGTACAAAATCACTTTGAGCTAGCCATTATTGCATACGTACTTGTACCTCGTTCTGCTTTTTCCTTTCGAAGGTTTGTTATTTCCGCTTCTTTTTCTAGCAGCTGTGCTTGGAAATGTGTCCGCTGCTGGCCTAGTTCTTCACTTTCCACTCCCAGTTGTTGTTCTGCCGTCATAAGCCGCCTTTGTGAAACAATATTTTCTTCTGTTGTAGGTGCTCTTCTTAGTATAGGGTAATTCAGCAAGTTTCCAATTTGTTGCGACTGGGTCACTGGGCAGGAGGTAAAAATGTGCAGTATTGTTAACCAGGAGCCGAAATGCGCGCGTTCTAAATGGCTACGAGCCAAGTTAGTTTTTTTTGGTTTTGTTATATTTTGTTTTGTCACTGTTGTTTTCTTTTTGGTAGACAAAGAGCTGTTGCTTTAAAAGTTCTAAAATTCATAACCGCAGAAAAACATGAGATAATTAGGAGGACACAACAGATCCTGTGGTCTGGTAGGCTCATGTTCCAGAGGAACAGATAAATGTAAAGTCACGTATATGGAATAAATCAGACGCAATTAATAGAATTGCATTCATCAAAAACATAACTTAAAGCATGACAAGAAAGGATATCAAAAGATACGTAAAATTACTCTCTGCATAAGTACAAAATCACTTTGAGCTAGCCATTATTGCATACGTACTTGTATCTGGCATGCGTTTAAAAACTGGTGACTGTAAAGAAAACACCCCACAAAGAGTTTCAAGCAGAGTTGAAAGATCAGATTTGTCCTGAAAAAAGGGAATATGACACTTACAGGTTTAATATTGAACAAAACATATTACATTATCAGCCAGTGCATTAAACCTAGGAGTATCTTTTAATTGTAAACCAGCCCATAGATAATTTACTTCTATTATGAGACATTGTGGATGAACACTCTACCACCACTTTTTTCCAAGTTGGGAAAGGAAAATAATAGTCTTAAGTTGTAAAAATCTGCTGCTTTTTAACAAGTGACTGAAATCTAACAAGATTAAAGCAAAATTTACAGCTCAGATTTAAGGAGTATTCAAAATTTCATTTGTAGTTAACAATCCAGACTCTTTTGATAAATATTATGCCTATGGCTTCAGATGATATCCTGTCCATACTATGATGAGTTTCCAAAGAAATAGAGGGATTTTGAAATTTCACTTTAATGTTTGGTTCCCTATAAAAGACCTGCACCTCATCTTTCAATTTTCTTCTTTTATTTGCCAGTTGAAGACTAATATCTAAGTTGTAACTCAAAATATGTTTTTCCCGATGTTTTATTTTCTTCAGGTTTTGTAACCTTTTTCAGAAACAAATTTCAAAACCTTTTCCAGGACTTTTCCATGACTCATATTTTTTTCAGTACTCCAAATTTCACCTTAAACCCTTTCATTCTTAAGATTTCAAAATCAATTTTCCACATGGTTTTCATTCATTTCTTACAGCAAAAATTCTGTAAACTTTATTGCTTGAGTTAAGCAGATTCCCAGGACTTTCCAGGACCTGTAGCCTTTCTCCAGGACTTAACAATCCTGGAAAATGTTACCATAAAATCCCACGAAGTTTCCCAGGGCACAAACAAAGCATGTTTCCTCTCCTACTCCCTTTCATTTTTCAATGTGCTCACTATTAAGCAGAATTTCAGCTTTATAGAATTTACACATAAATATCGAAATACATTTTAAATTACATGGTAACCCAATATTCAAATCATGTTACACACAAAGGAAGCTTAAAGATGCAAAAAATAATATTGGATAAATATTTGTGAGAAAAAAGACCTTCATTTTACACACAAAAAAAAATGTATATTGGTAAGCAAACATACTTGAGAAGAGTGTTCCCATTCATGTAGATAGGGAAGGTAAACTTTGCCACTGGTATCCACATGTGGAGATGGCTTGATTGCCATTGTACTTGTTGGTGTGACAAATACTAATGGTGGAACATAAGGATGTCTTTCCTGCAGCCAAAGTTGCACTGGAATGTTGTATGTCACACCTGAAAAAAACAATGAATTTACATCAAGAAGTCTGAAGACTGCCTCTAAGGTAATATCATAATTTTTAAGACAGAGCAAGTCAGCTGACATAAATAGGCCAATGGCCATTATGGCCAACTTACATTATCAGCTTACTTGATAAAACCAAATCACACTGTGTATAAACTGGTTGACATAAATCCGATCTCACCTCTGATTAGAACTGGAATTGTTCCCCTTAGATTAAATAATTCAACTTCTTTTCCATCATTGTGTACTGCAGGTTAAATAAAGTAAGTAATGAATAAACTATGCATGTGCACATTTCAAAAGCTTTTTCATCAGATATATATTACCTGCAATGATGAAAATAGGTTGCTGTTTCCATCAAATATGAGCTAGCTTTATGAATCGGAATAAATATTTAATTCAGTAAATATCTAGAATGGCAAACAGCTGTAAGCCTATCAGCAGAGTATGGCAGATGCAAGAGCATATTTTTTTTTCTTACCATACATTTAACAAGGCAAGATAGCTTTGCACACATAAGACCTCATCAAATTCTGCCATACTCTTCACAGAAGGCTGTAAGAGGTCTATCTACAGTGGTGGATCAAGGGGAAGGGCCTGGGGGGCCTGGGCTCCCCCTTATTTTGGGTAAAAAAAGAGAATCGCAGAAGGAAGAAAAGCAACAAAAACCCAGGTCACCCCTTCGTTCAAGGTCTGGATCTGCCACTGATCTAGTATGGTAAGATCACCAGTAACTGACTTCCATTAGAACCCCAAAATTAATGTGCAACTTAAGTCGTGGAGTTCTCAACTTGGTCATAGCATATGACAATTAAATCAAACATAATTTTGTAACCAATATTATGTGAGAACATGCAAACTTGAATGTGCTACATCATAATAATTAGGCAGGTAATTGAGATCAAATCAAACTGAGGTAACATTGGCCGTATGTACAGTATTATAGAAATACTACATTTAAAAATATGACATATTCGACCAAATTGTGGCTTTCAATGTTCTCAATTTAGTTATACGGTACATCAAGACCCATTTTCAATTAAATGTTTCTAAATAAAAAAAGTGGGTTGTAAATATTCCACTACGAATTTGCAAAGCACACAGGTTTTCTCTCATAAAGTTGCAATTTTTTTTCAAATGATTTGATAAAGATTCAATTTGTTGACTGCAGTCTCAAAAAGACAAGATTAGAATTTTCTTTTACTGCATAATTATTATTACAGAATATGACTTACCAAACCTATCTTGAGATGGCAGTAAGGTAGGATAATGTTTGAGTGCTTCTAACACATCGGCTTCAAAGAGCCCGGGATAACGATTCTAGGAGGGCAAGTCATAAATTTATATCATAAAAGAGGTGATTGCTCATCGTGGTGGTAAGTAATAATAAACTGTTTAATCGTTTGTCTCACGATGTTGTCACTAAAGATGTAGTTCGCGGCGTTTAGACTGCTTTCTGCTAGTCTTCATCAGGCAATGGGGTCGACTACTCACGCGTTACTGTTACTGTAATTATGTTATGAAGCAAGATTACATGTACACCACTGTAACTAAACACATACGCTGTGGTATGCGTGCACCCATGTAGCTTCCGTCGGTGATTTGTTGAAGTTTTTAGGAATTGGAGAGGAAAGAAAGTTTTCGAGGTGAGAGAGAGAGAGAGAGAGATATGGTGGAATAAAAAGGAACTGAATGATGATCAGTCATGTATAATTACACTATAACTTACCTTAGCGAGACCTCTCCGAATTGACTCAAATGTAACTTCCATTTTGACAAGCGAAAGTGAAAGTCCTTTTTTCCACTTTCGTTCCCAGGGCATATCGTTTCGTACAGCCGTCAGAGAGTTCGTGCGAGTTTCAAATCAGCGCGTAAAGAGGGTTTCAGAGGCGATAAGAACTTCTCCCCACCCATTAATATTTTCGAATCAATAGAGCATGATCTTACTTCTACGAGTTTTGGAGTTTGTTTTGAGGCAGTCATCTTGAAAACTGAATAAGCACCAAGAAAACCCGCCATAAACAAACAAATGATGGCGCAACATACACCAGTTGTACCAAAACTGAGTGCGTGGCGTAGATCCAAGCGGCAGTCAATACACACGGTGAAGGAGAAGAACGGCTTCTGAATGGAAAGTTTAACAGAAGACTAGCTCATTTTACCTTTTATTACTGTTCTAGGCTCTGAAGAAATTGTCTGTGAATACATATTTACATATTCAGGTATATGTGAACAATAGCCTCTATTTGGCGCGAAAATGTGTACTGATATTTGCCCGCGGATATCATCTGTTCCAAGATGCGAACAGTTTGAACTACAGCAAAAAACATGTATAAATATTTTTACCTAATTTTAATAAAATGGATCGCTGGGATCACGTTACATGTGAATCGCCGCATAATCCGCGAGACGAGGCCGAGTGGATTATTCCACAATATTCCCTGGGCCTGAGGAGAATAATTGTTTTTAGTATGATTACTCATATCGGGTGCTTTCGATTTCTGTTGTAAATTTGTTTTTTTGTTATTGAAACCATCCTCTTACAATTGTTTCGATTACTCGTATCGAGATAAGCAGCCAATCTCCACCAGAATTTAAGATGAATATTTGATTCAATATCTAAAGAATATTTGAAAATTGTCACGCCAAACCTAATAGCCTCTTTTGCACTCTTCGGAAGTGAATTGTCTTCTATCGTATTTATCAATGACTTCCACGGTAACATTAACAAAACGCGATGAACCTATTTTGAAATTTAGCGCCCCTTCTTTAATCACCTTACGCAAGGTGTTTAGCACAAGATATGACGCAATCCTCGACCAATTTCTACTTTGTTACTACAAATAGAGGAAACACCTATGGTATAAAATACGGTCTACGATATTTCCGAGCCAATTAAGTATTTAAGTTTTTTTTTCTAGTTCCAGATCTTCCTTTGAATGGATTGTGCGGCTTGTCTGCTGCGTAGAGTTAGATTAAGGAAAAAGTCGACAGCGGCTTCCTTCGCTCGCTCAAGTCCGTGTATGATTTATGAGATGTCAGGTGAGTAGCGTTACAACAAACAGTCACGGCTGGTAACGTTTAGTGACTCGATAAGTTTTGTTTTGTTTCACCATAATCGTCCTCGTTTATCTTATATCAAGAAGAAAATATCCTAAAAGGTCACAACCACTAGAAACAAAGTTTTGAAATAAATGCTGTAAATAGATATATAACTGTCGTGTGTCGGTTTATATGTCTTGTTAGGCTAATAAGATTGCGGAATTAATGTGACTTTCAGTCCAAGCTCTTTCAATGGAGTTACTTATGAATTATTACAGCAGCCATTTCAGCTTTCAAAAACTTTCCTCCACTTTCGTCCGTCACCATTGACTCTCGGAAGAAATCCATAACTTCGTCCTTCAAACCCTGATCTGCGGTGACTCGAAAGTTTTTCTGATGGGTCAAAAAGTCTAAGAGCAGATCACTCTCTTCTGAAGGCTCTCCAAAACACTTCGTTATGTCAATAGAAAATTCTTGTGTTATTTCATCATAAGACCATCCTGTACTTCTCGCTGCTATCGCTGCGAGGTCCTCTTTGGTGTAGATGGTCATATCCTCGGATCCAAAGGTGAGCTTTCCTTTAAATTTCTTCTGCACTTTAGCAAAGAAGGAGGCTTCGGTTTGGACGAGACATAAGATGGCTCCCTTTTCTCCCAGATAATTTCTGAAGCACGATCGAAGAGCATCTTCGGCATCCATGTAATAAATGCTGTGGATAAAGTGGATGAAGTCTAGGGATGGTTTACTCTTGTCATCAGCGATTAGGCGCTGGTATTCTTGAAATGTCATTTGCCGCCATTCAAACGATATTTCAGCTAATGCTATCAGCGAAGTTGGCATTGACGAGGCAGATTCTTTAAACTTCTCTAAAAGAAATGAGCTCGGCTCCACAACTACGCTATGGATAGTGGGTTTTACATCAGTTTCGTTAGCTTTCAAATGCGCAGCTACGGAGTTGATCATCAATACATCCATTTCACCCTTTCCGCTACCAATTCCTAACATCCTGAACGGCTTATTCTTGTCACTAACAGATGAAATCGCCATGAGCGCTCGCTTCGTTCCATCTTGTACACACTTCACAATTGACTGTCTGGCAGTAGAGTGGTCCAAAAAGGCTTGAAAAGCTTTCTCGTAGGCTTCATAACTCTTGGACAAAGTTTCAAGTGGCATATTTTTCTGTGATCAGACAAGCCGACGCGAGACAGCTGCGAGGTATACACGTCAACAGTGTGTCTTCTGTTAGCAGTTCAATGAACACCGCCTCCACCAATCCCTTGCTTTATGTAAACAATCAGTGCATAGAATGCTTAATCCCTGTGGTTTTATCTGTTTTATCTTTAGTCAATGAGCATCGAAGTGTTAATTGTCATAATTAACTCTAGTGAATTTTCCCTCGGGTCATGAATTGCACGATCTTTCAGTATGGAATTTTGCCGAGTCACTGAATGTGCGTTTTCTTTTCGCTCAATTTTACTGACTCTTATAACTTACAAACTGACGGGCCGAAATCGCGAAGACTTCTTGGTTGGACTCTTCTACGGGACAAAAATTCAGGAAAAAAGGCCTTCGTTTCGAAGAATTTTATCCATGCACAAAAAATGCTAGAATTTTCTCTTTTACTTCATTAGATATTTCAGATTATTTGCGTTTTTGTATACCGCAACTGACAGATCAACTGAAAAGCGTGCCTTGTTTGAATTTTTCGGGTTGACATTTATCTTGAAAGGACAAATTGAAATCAGCAATATAAAATTTATTATCTTTTTGTTTTGTCTGTATTTTGTTTTGCACGGCGTAGGATAAAATATGGACTGGACCATTGGACTATTGGACTATTTTTTGGACTACTTTTAATTTTGGATAGCCTACGTGTAACCGCACCCTCCCCCGCAAAGATGAAATGGAGGCGCCTGAGTTTCACCTTTTGGGGAGAGGGTGCGGCTACACGGAGGCTAATTTTTGGCCTTTTTTTAGACCATTTTCGGACCAATTTTGGACCTTTTTTGGGACCATTTTATCGGTGGAGGTAGACCATTAGTACTCAGAGAGAGGTGGGATGCAGTCTATCAGTACTCAGGAAGGGGTGGAAGGCAAACTGTTGTTACTGAGGGAGGGGTAGAAGACGAACTATTATTACGCAAAGAGGGGTGAGAGGTGGTTGTATTAGTAAATGCTACTAATCAATGGAGTTTTTAGTGATCATAAAAATTATTTTGAGCGGGTTTTCGACTGATTATTTTTTGTCAAAATTTTTGCGTTGGGTCTTAGCCAATAGTCCAATGGTCCAGTCCATATTTAATTTTTTTTCCGTTTTGCGCTTACATGCGAACCCACATAGGTTATGGAACGACGAATAGGACCAGTGGAATAGGAGACTTGCACAGGGAGTGTGGAAGAGAAACGCAGAACGTGAAACGTGGAACGTGAAAAGGACTCAGTTAACTGTGAAATAAAGAACTTTGATGAGGGAGCGGGCCATGACGAATGAGATGTAGGAAGTTAATGATAGGAAACTGGAGATGGGAAAATAAAAACGAGAGTATAGGGAAATTGAGAACAATTAGAGAGGGAAAACCGATAGCTGTTAAAGGTTTATTGCAAATTGCGACAAAATATAACACTGATTCCAATTAAGTCAAACAAAATCATCATTCTCATATTACAAAACTAAACTTTAAGCGTTACAGGCGTTCGTTTTTTTTACTAAGTTTCTCCCATCGAGAGCTGTGAATCAACAAATTTGACTCCAAGAGAGACACCCGTCGATAATGAAGGCCTCCAAAAGCTTCACCTCGTGCTTCACACACTTCATTGACCAACCTTTGGTCTGAAGAAGGCAGTTATAGTGAGCTAAATACCTCTCGACTCGACGTAACACAAAGGACTCTTAAGAGGCTAGTCGTATTTCGACGATCTTAGAACAAGGTTGAAATGTGAAACTGCAGCTGAAGTAAGGATCGTGAGAGGCCTAGAGTCTCAAAATATCGCGAAATATAAAGCCTCTCTGATCTGATGGAAACTGAACAGTTGGTTTGTACAAATTTCAGCGTCTCGAACTCATTCATTTGTGTTGTTAGCCAGATTAACGTCATCTTTGCTCAAAAGATACAACACGGAATAGTTCGCGGTCAACTCCTCGAGAATTCAAACCTCAGTCAGGGTGAAGGGTGACCACCGAAATAACTATGAAGGAAGTTCACGACTGGCTGGAAAACGTGGGGCTTGAAATGTACGGCATCATAGGGTTTTCTTGGCAGCCCAGTCCCCTCGGGATATGCGTCGCTGATGGGAAATACGTCAAGTACATTGACGCCTGCTCTGCACATGGTGTCCATTGCATAGGCGTTAAATAATAAAACACGCTGAAAAGAAAAAAGAGAAAAAGTTGTTCGTGGTGTGCTGTTAGGACAAGATTTGTCTTTCTGAAATTATATTCTGAGAGAAACGGTTCCATGCGACCACAGATATAGGAAAACGATATCCCTGGTTTATTATTAAAGGTAGGTTCAAACCCGTTCATTAAATACTTAAATAAGTTGAAAATTTTACCTTGTCGGACTTTTGAAGGTTGGTAGTATTTTAATTAAATTTTTCTATTTCCCGTTTAGCAGATATATTGGTTTATCAAACATACATCAATTATTCTACAAGAATCCCAAACATTTCTGCATTTTTACGAATGAATTGATAAAGAAGGCAGCAAGACATCATTAGTCCAGACAAATGATTACTGAATGGGTTATCAACATATAATCAAACAGAATTTTTTTTAAATTCCTAATCCTTTTTTCAATTACCTTTCCTTAATTTAATTATACCTTATCAGTAATAAAGTGTTCTTACTCACCTGATAAGTCAAAAATCTGATACTTGTTGAATGTCGCGCATTAGTTTTTGGGTCTCCGTACTTCTCTTTATTAATAGCAGTTGTCGTCTTCCAGATGAGTTTTCCTCTAAACCTCCATGATCTACCGTCCGTCTTAAATCTATCATTTAACAATCTAATTGTTTTGTCAATCAAAGTCTTGTACGATGAGAAGTTTATTGTGTGCACATAGTGCAGACCTAGATTGAGAACCAAGACGGAATTGGCGTTGTCCATAAAAGGCTGATCGATCACGTGAAAAATCTCTGTCAGAACTCTCCTAATACTGAAATCTTTTTCATCCATCTCTAATCGAGCTCTGGTCAAGTTTCTGTTGGGAATTTCGTACACCCAGTTGTAAGTGTTATTGCATCGTTGAAATAATGTTTTACACAAAGGCTGTTTGACGATGGACTTGTAGAAAAAATCGCCGATCGAGTCTCCGTAAATCCACAGTGTTCCTAGTTTTCGTGTCGGGCTGTTTCCTAATGAGCCAGATTTTTCTAGAATTGATGATTATAAACATTATCCTATTACAACGATGTGACAAAAAAGTCGACTATACATTAATCGGAGAAGAGTTACTTGTCGAAGATATATCTTTCTAAATTTATGTGATAATTCTACTTCAAACTTCTAAATTTCGGACTAGTTTACGTGTCTGGATTAAGAAACTGCAGCATTCTTTTTTCTTAAATAAACTTGAAATCGAAACGGTGCAGTCTACAATTAAATACTTTGTCAGCGAAATAAACCTTTAAATAAAAGCTTTTCCTTTACTTACCAGTCAAATATGGTTTCCATGTGTCATTGACCCATCTCCCATTGCCGTCCCATATTTCAGAACATTTGATCCCACATGGTGTGTTCAGAGAGCCAAACTTGCTAATAACCTCTAGATGCAAACAAATGAATATAATTTTTGAGGTGACTATTAAAGATAACTAAAGAAATGTTACTTTCAAACCCTTGGTTCATAAGGACATAATGAACAAGCTCCCTACCATTTTTCCAATTTTTTCATTTTCGCTAACTTGATCATGAGAACAATAATCAGCCACCCACAATTGATGCAAAAATTATATTTCCTCAGGAAATGAAGGTTACATATCAATAACATTACTCATCATCATCTGTTCTAAAGCGACCAGCTGAGGGTGCCATTGTTCCAGAGGGTGATGTGGCCAGCGCGAATAATCTTGTACCCAGATCCTACCGTGTAACTGCAACTGTATGTAGAAGCCTTACAACAGCGTGGCCTTGGAAAGTCTTGAGTACGTGACTACAGCGTGCAGAAGCATCGAAGGAACTAAGTAACTTACTTTTAAAAAGAAGCTCCGTGGAACGTGGAATTTGGATAGTGAAAGGCGCACCGTCCCACAAAGGACTTAACAGAAATGGCTTTTCACGACTAGGAAGGGCATCCGGTGATTGGTATCTACCTTGAGCGTTTCCTATAAAGGAACACATTTTACATGGCTGAGCACTTTCTTTGAAATTCAGTTTCGCCTTTAACCCTGTTTAGTGTTACTGGTTGAATTACCTTTTATAAACCAATCTCTTGGTGGATCTTTATATCCATCACACAACGAATACTCCAACACCACCTCCACGTCATACTTCCCAGATTCCAGAACAAGAAAAATGACCTCGTACTTCCCATTATTATGATCAATTACTGTTGGAGACATCGAGGAGGGACCTCGTACATGAACCCGCCAAGAGTCCCCACCAATTGTCTTGTCAAGGTTATCTTTCGTTACAGACTGTATTTCAAATCGACTGAACTGCCCGGCAGGTCTTATATCCCACAATGTAAGATAGCTTTTAGCAGCGTCCGTTCTGCTTTGGTCACGCCAGGAATTCATATTCTTTCCCCACTTCATGTTATCTGCGCATGGTCGTAAGACTCCTTTCCAGTCTCTGCGCAGCCGCTTTAGACGACACCATGTTTGCATGAAGTCGGCGTATATTTCGTTATTGCGAGTGTGGTTCTTTACTGTTTTTAATTGCTTTTGATTGGATGAGATAACATGGACGTGATAGCGGTAGTGCAGCCAGTACACGTATGCAAAAAGACACAAAGCCAGCACAGTTAAAGATCTTCGCGATACCACCCGGATAGGACATGCTGCTGTTACCGAGAAAATCATCCAGAGATCTCCGTCATGAGTTTTTTAAAGATTTAATTCACATGCTCCACAATTTTGGACAACATGTCGAGAACCTGCGAAGAAAAGAAATTATTTGACAGGAGTGTCATACGCCATAACTGGTGAACTTGTCTTTTAGTAATAACAAGGTTCTTTAAGTAGCCAGGTTTGTATAATTTGAAAGTATCATTGAAATTTGCTAGTATCATTCATTAGTATCATTCAAAATGGAAAAAAGGCTCAGTCGTGAGTCGATTGCTCCGAGGTAAATGTGTATTCTTCGCAGAATAAACAGCTGGTCCGACCCACACATGCAGCGAGAAACATCGATTATTGCGTTCATGCCCACTACGCATGTACCTAATCTAGTTGAAAAAACTACACATTTTACTTTCCGTCTCACACACGGCATAAAAGACCAGATTTCTATTGGCTGACATACTTTCAATTTCTGCAACAGGTAATTTCAGCTTTTGATATTCCTTTGTCAAGAATTTGTTTGCCATTCAATTATCTTGAAAGCAGCATGACTCGTATCCATGAAATAGACAGGTCTGTTCGCTCGGAGAGCAAATATAGTTTTTACTGTGCGATGATTACGCGAATTTCGCACTCCTTAAAAGAAAACTATGATACATTTACTGATGACAACTCGATAAAAATATCACAGCATGTCCTTTATCATCTCACCGTTGTGGTACAAACTGATTCGATGTTGCTGTGCCTTTGATAGGGAAATAAAGATATTCTTCAGAAATCTCTCCTGATAATATTTTTCGAGCACCAAGTTACCTTTGTAAGTGGTTTTTCCTGAAACACCTACTCCATAAATTTCAGTTGAAGGCGCCATTTTCCCAGTCCATTTTGATCATTGGAAAAGTAGCTCGATTAATTTCCTTTCGAGGATCAACTGGCCTTTTGGCGCGCGACCGGTACCAGTTTCCCACTGAAGTGGTATATTGCAGGTGACCTGGGGAGACTGCCTATCAGCTGCTGAAACTATAAAAACAATACAAATAATTTCGGTGCAAGCTTTTTGAACTGAGCACCGACCACGCTTGATTTGAAAAAAAAAATAAAATAAAAGGTTCATCACAAGATCCGTGATCAAGTCATTGAAGGTCATAAATGACAGGCTCCCACTGTAATATTATTATATTATTTAATTTCTTGTAAGTGGGGACCACCCGAATGTTCCAGAATAATCTTGTACCCAGATCCTTCCGTGTAACTGCAACTGTATGTAGAAGCCTTACAACCGCGTGGCCTTGGAAAGTCTGAGTAAGTGACTATTGGCAATTTTATGATCTGGTAGATTCAGTTTCACAAGGTTAAAACTCAGCATAACAAAAAGATAAAAGCAGCATTTTTGCGATGACCGTCTCTCAGAAAGTTACATTATTTAGAGAGAGTAATTGATTTGAACCATTTAGTTCTGAGAAAAACCCGTTTGTCATGCCAGCAATCTTCTGAAACTCAGAATCCTTACTAACAAAAAAGGACTTATATCACGAGAGTTCACGAGAGAATGGCATGTCTTTGGATCACACATGCTAACATCGTGGACGTTTGCACTGCTAACCGCCTGAGGACACAACAATTGCAGTGCCACCGTTTGACGAAGAACAAAATATAATACTAAACTGGGAGAAAACGCTGTTCGCTGTAATGACGGATTTCGAAGAAGTCTTTGTCTTCAGCTTATCCTTCTTTCCAATTATCAAATGGAAAAGACGAACGGACGGTTCTTTTTTTTTTTTATTTCAGTTGATGTCCTCATATACCTGAAGACATTAATTTAAGTACCATGTACACTCAGCCACTAGGACTTTTTTTTCATCCCCATCGTAAAGCCTATCAGTGTAGCTCAACGTAACAATTAATGCATTTAAATTCTAAACATAATATGGCAAAAGCGTGATTTGTTAACGTGTTACAGTTAGGACATCCAATATTAGGTAAAAGTACAACTGTATACAATAAGTTTCTGAAATACATATATATGCTATATATATATAATTATTATTATGATTAATAGAAGTATTATAAGTGATATAATCAATACAAAACTCTCGTTACAAGATTGATCTTCGAAACTTAAATCTCAGTGAGTATATACAGCATCAACTGATCATTCAATGTAAGACAGTAAGCACGACTTGATTATAGGATGAAAAGTCAGATTTCTCGGCTACTTATTCCTCCCCTGCGAATTTGATGTTATGTCAAGATTATTTACATTGGTTTCTGTTGTCTTAACTGTTTTTATCTGTTTCTATAGCAGTGCACTTATATTTTAAATATTCCAATTAATGATCACTTTATAAATCGATCACTCGAGGGAGTAAAAGAGTTGAAAACACGTGAGGCATAACGAATCAACGAACAGAAATTCACTTCAAGGAATGGCTCCTCATCTAAGAGATCCTCCACCCTACATCACAGCTCGTTTAAATACAAAGCTCAGTGCATCAGAAAAGTAACTTTGTATTTGATGAAAGAGCCCCAGATCATTAGATAATCATGCTCGGCACGACTGCATGGGATATACAATACAAATATAAACCAACAGTCACACTTAAGTCCGTAAATCCAGTTACTGTCACTATGTGCGTCAATAACATTTACTCCTTGTTTAAATTGCAATTTGGGACGAATATGAAAGAGAAAAAGCGTCATAAAAATTCTGAGGTCAAGCTTAATCATACTGAGTTCACAGCACTGAGTTTTGGTCTCACTCGCGCTCGCGACACGGAATGACGTGAAGTCCCGTGGACACGAGCAACAAGTTGCCTTTGAGGTGCTATCGGCATAGCTGGCGCTTTTGGGATAGGAGCTTGTGCTAAACACGGAGCAACAAACTTAAGCAGTGTGGTTCTCACTTCCCGAATACGATAAGTGTACACAACAGGATTCATAGCGCTGTTACTGTAATGGAGAAACTTTACAAAATCTAACAAGTGAAACAGGCTGACTCCCTGCGGGACTACTTTTGGACAAAATATAAATAACATTGAAAGTGTATAAAATGGAAGCCATGACACTGCGAAAACGCTCGTGATAATTAGCACAGTTTTTGCGGTTGCCTTTTCCCGGAAAACTTTTCTTTGAAGCGAATTGGTGGAATATGACCTTCGGCGAATATTAAACAGTTTGACGCTCTTGTAAATGTCGGCGTACATGCAGATTATGACAAAAAGGGGGAGAACAAAGCCTCCGATGGTAATAAGTAGAACTCTGTATTTCTGCCAGGGTACGGCCTTGAAATCGCTCACGAAGATGTACGTAATGGCAAGGCCATACAACCATGTTGCGGCAATAGTAACGTGATAGTACACACGTGCCATAGCTCGGTGTTTTAGTGGTCTTGAAATGGAGAAGTTCCGTTCGATGCTTATCGCTGTAAGATGTGCAATGGAGACTAGAGCACTTGAAATATCTCCGAAAATGTACACCGCGCGGAAAGACAGGTTGAAAGTGCTCGGCGCTAAATGGTTCAAATCGTACAGCAAAATGTATATCCAACTAGGAATAGAGAAGGTTCCAACAAAAAGATCTGAAACTGCCAAACTCACCAAAAAGAGATTGGTTGCTGTTCGTAGCTTTCTGTTTCTAGTGAATACGGCTATGATGAGAGAGTTACCCAGTATCACAAGCAACGCTAGAGTCACATATATAACAACAAAAGCGAATGTCTCTTGTTCCGAGTGTCTGGAAAAAGATTTCTGTGAAGTTCCACTTGTTTCATTCGATATTCCTTTGAGAGAGGTAGAGTTCTCAGAAACAAAATCCTCCATTGGAAAATTTCGTTTTGGCTTCCCTTAGAAATGGCCAAAATCTGAAACGAGGAAACAAAATGCGCGTAAGCATAAGACGAGACACAACCACTTGATTGTTTGCGTCATCCTAACATAATGTTATTAAGGACTCTAGTCCATTACCAGTTTACCATGACATGGAAAGTAGAATCTGGGTAAATAAAATTCAATTTTAAGAAGGTTGATAGGGTAAAAGAAATATTACAAACATAGCACGCGATGGGGAAGAATTGCCTTAGATTTGAAGGACTTCGGCTTGTTTGAACATGAACCACACTCATTCTTGTAAGCTAGTTTATCGCATAGCATGATTTGAATTTTATACTATGAAACCGAAAATTGACGTAAACAGCTGACAATCGTTAACTTCTGTGCCACAGCTGGGATATCCATCAGCGAATGAGTTACGTCATGAAGTAATTGGTACATATTAAGCAAAAGCGTAGGGAGATATAATATCTCAGATGTTTCCGCAAGTTTAATTAGGTTTGCTTATCGCAAAGGCAATTTCTTCTTTAATAATTGTCGGTTCACATTGAGCAGTACCATTAAACGCCGACTGAAATTAACCCCACTTTATTACTGCGTTTCAATTGCGTAAGGTCGGAAGACTCAAAGATCATGTGTAATCACACAACCATTAATTGCTTACTTTATAACTGCAATTATCAATTAAGAGATCACAGCCCCGGGATCTGGGATCACAACACTTGGGATCTCCGACAGGGATCAAAAGATTAAATCAAAAAATGCATCGTTTTGTGATCAGGGATCAAAATTTGGGGCAAAAATACAGGATCAGTTATGAAAAAATATACCTTGTTACGACCCTGTCTTTCTCTTAAGAGTCAACCCACGTTGTCTTCAAGTTCTTAGACATCGGTTCGTTGACGTCGGCTTTTACCGGAAAACTAGGAAATGTGTCTACCCTATCTTTTAATTAACGAATATTTCTATCCGCCTCCATTAATTTAAACTGTACTTTAAAGCTCACAATTTGACATGGAGCATTCACCTCAAGATGCTGCACTCATCACATTGAAAGAGACAATATATCCCCGTGTAAACCAATGAAAGAAACGTTTTTTCTTTTATCTTCTCTTATCTTATATCTTAGACAAATACACTAATACCTTTAATCAATTTTAAGATCCCTTATGATTTTCTCTATGAAGGGGCTTTTTTGGCATAATCGAAGAGATAAGAATTTATTGCTTACAGAGGTAAACTTACAATCACGAATTTAGATCTTTGTTCATTATAATGTCATGATGTGATCCTTTAGCCCCGTAGAGCGCAGTTTTTTGGGTTTTTTTAATGGCAGAATACTGTTGTAATAAAGCGTTGTGAATTTGTCAAGAAATGTCAAGCTATACATTTAGGAAGGAAATAAAGTTTTAAGGGGATTCACTTTTTGTCAACAATCAGCAGTATTTTTATAAACATGTAATCACCAAACGTTTTTGACCTCTTAGAAAAGTTTCATCCAAATGATTTGTCAATTATGACGAAGGATATGATACCTCCATCGTAAAGGGAAAATATGAAATAATAGTACTCTAGATTTACAAAACTGAATCGGAAAAAGAAAAAGAATGAAGAGGGCTCATCATGAAGAAAACCGATTGCGAATGACAAACCTGAAAACTATAGGGATCTCGAAGTTCTTTGCATTTCCATACATTTTGTGCGCTCATCCTTTTCTTCACTTCTCACTAGAAACTACTCACGTTTCTCCAATATATTCCAAGGTGAAATTGATTCATCAAATGATATTCTCATTTGGTGGAGCGAAAAGCTACCCATGCCGTGAGGTTGGGAAACAGTGAACTACAACTTATGAATGTCACAAGGAATTTTTTGTTCTTTTCTTTCTTTTTTTTTTTGCATATTTCAATGACAACTGAGGGTTTGTCAGTTTTTATAAAGTGAATATTGGCAACAACTTTACGAGAGGAAGTTAATGGCTAGTTCCTTATTATGACGTCACAAGCAACTTATAGATTCGCATAAGTGGTCTAAGTTTGTTTAAATCGACATTCCAGGTGCCAAAAAATCACTTGTCCTCCACGGTCCTCCTAAGTGCTATCTCTGGTTTCTATTTTGCGAAGAATTATTTTGCTCGCAAAAAAATTGAATTTTGAGGGATCTTCTCGATTGAAATAGCCAATTCCAAAAGAATTTCAAAAAATGAATAGTGAATAGCAAATTGACACACTGAGGTAAAATGAAAGGTTCAGTGACTTCCTCAAGATTGTTTTTTCTTTTTTCTTTTGCCAATCGTCTCATTAAATCTTATTTTCCCCAAAACCCCAAATGTTTGTGATTCATTGACAGTTGAGAGCTACGTCATGCCTTTAGCCGGGTGTCAGTGAAAACCACACACGAAGAAAGAAATAATCAATTGTAGATACTTTTCTTAAATTTAAAGACCTAGACAGAAATTAAGTTTTAAAACTCACAAAAGGGTCAGAGGATGTTATTGTATTAGTTTCCTTTCATATCTTCATGTCCGTTTGTATTGGAAAATAAGCAGGAAATGAATTTATTTTATTGTGTAGCTACTGCCAGTTAGGAAATTTGTATGGAGCACATGATTGTGAAATAATAATCACGGGCGAGCACATGAAAAAGCAAACGCTTATCATAATAGGTTTCTAAATTTCAGGGAGCCGATAATTTCGAGTTTTCGAAAGAGAAATAGTTCATTTATCAAATCAATAAAGGAATCTGAATTTGGCCTTGCCGGTATCTAAACTAATTTCCTGAGATACTGATCGAAAACCTTTAACTTTGAAAAACCGTCTATCTAAAAATTTCTTCGCTTTTTATCAGCATTTGCTCTGAATCCTATGAAGTACAGGACTTGTTTAGTTTATGAGTTTGTCTCGGGCAAAAAAAGCGCACGAATCGTGGCGACACAGCGGGTATTTTAACTACATGAAAGCCAGTAGTATCATGAAAACAGTCTTCATGAATTATTCTTAAACGTACATGGAAAAAACCATATTTGAGTATCTTATATGGGATTTTCCAAGATAATTTTCTTGTAAAGTACGATTATGTATTTTCAAGAGTCTTTAGGGGACCGCGACCCTAGATAATGGTAAAAAATAAAAATAAAAGAAATCCCGGATCGATTCCTATTTCAATCGTTTTGCTCATTTCACGAAGCAATGTAAGTTGGGGGGGGGGGGAGTTTAAATGCGAAAGTGACCCAAACATTGAGTGTTTCGTAACTTACAAATGTTGGTTCTGGCCTAGATACAAGGTAATGTTTAAATTGTTTGCAACTTTTCTTGCCATTCTACATTTTCTATCGCGCATCAAGCCGGAGGTTACATGAAAAACTAATTTTCCTGCTATATGTTCTCTCGCTTAAAGTTAAATTTGTTACATCACCCACGCATTCGTGTATATAATTATCTTTAGTGGCACACTTCAGTTCTGGGTTACTAAATTTCTATGTGGAACAATTCTACGTGGCTAGATTTTACCTTTACCTAGTTTCATCCTTTCGTCAATCGTCGAATGACCCCTTGGTTGTTACAAGACCATTGGGATGGAAAAAATATATATAGGTGCACCAATACAGTTATTGATGTTATTCAAACTGCCGCTCTTATAGCAACGTCTGCTTCAACAAAACTATGATCTGGCGGTTGAAGAACTTAGATGGCATTACTTACAACTCCGATTCCTATTGTTGTCCTAGCAGGTTATCTGATAGCTAACCCATGGAAAACCTTCGCAACTGCGGCTTAAATTGAGTTCAAAATCATGGCGAGTCCATTTATAATTAAAAACCTTTACGGCCAATGTGATTGGCCTATCCATCTTTTCACTCCCCACTGACGCACATGCAGGAAAAAATGAACGATCATTTGCCAAAAATTTTTTTTTGTTGATTTAAAGATTTATGTAATCCACAGGGAATTTTGCTACTAGACAGTGGCGTCTGGCTACCTGTGTTTGGTCTTAGTCCCTTTAGTTATAAATGGCATATCTCTTAATGAATCATATTTTCCTTAAGAGCGGCAGAATAATTCGAATTTCATTCATTGAAATAAAAAGAAGAATTCTCAATGTTTTCTTTGGACATAAATACATATAACCTTGCGGCGTTTACTTTCCTATTTCAACATTGCTGAAAACCATTTAACACGAAAAGCATATTATGCACTTTTTATTTATTCATAAGCTTGAATAAAATCTTGAGAAAAAGCATGCAGTTAAGAAATCTTAAGTGCTCGCCTCACAGTGCACAGAAGTGCCCACACTTTTAACTACAAAATCACGGTTAGCGAATAAAAAACGTCACTACTGAATGTATCGATGAATTGTCTCCAGTTTGGATGATTGTTGTCTAGGAATGACATGTTTACAACTGTTACGAATTTTAATATTTTTTTTTAACAGTAAAAGGCTGAACCAACAAGATAGGTGTGCGAGTGCACTTCATTGAAGGATTTTTTTTCCATCTTTCGATTTACGAGTGACATTTTGCACCAACTGTAGCATTCTGACCTTGTAATGGGTGAATAGAAGCACTCTTTTAAATGTTCACTGAACTCAGCTCTAATGACAAGAAAAGCGAAGTTCTAATGAAAAGGTGACGCTGTTTGAGCGCATAGGAAATATGGTCAAACAAACTCTTGACAGCATTGCATCAACACAAGGCCTTTGTGGAAGCGTAACAATGTTAAAACGTTCTATAATTTCTCTGAAAAAAGTCGCTACTTAGTATAAAACAGCTGAAAACTGATACAAGATGGAGATTTTCAAAGTAGATCTGAAGCAAACTAAATTTTGGTCATTTGTCACCTGATTCAGTAACTGTGGGTAAAATAAACAAGTGTCACTTTTTTTATAGACATTTCCGAAAAATTCATACTGAAAATGTCAAATCGTTTTGCATTATCTCTGAGGGTGTAACATGAATTGATTAATTCGAAAGTGTTTTCAGCCGATTTTGCCTTTACAGCGAGCGGACGTCAATCAAATCAAATCCTGCTAGTATGCAATTGTTCATGCGGCGCAAGCTATAATCAGTACGTCATAGAAACAGCACAAAAACCAAACTAAATACGAGAACAGGAAAGGAAAGATTTCTTAAGTGTGTCTATTGTCATCCCTGAGTCTCTTGAACTCTCGAATGTACAATCCTTACTTTTTAAGCCCTGCTGACACTTTTGGCAACCCTCTGGAGCGCTTAATCGACCCGTACTTCCAACACGTATAGCTTAACTTTCCTAACACTATTCCGTCGAAAACGCTAGTTTTCGAAAAGGTTTTAACTGAACCTGTAACGTTTTCCTCTTTATTCTGGTCATATATAACCATCGTCCCCTCTTTTAAGCAGCTTTCCTTTTTCAGATGATGGTAAATGCAGAAAAAAGTGTGCCCTGGTGATCAGATTTGACTGAAAAACATTTCCTTGGCACAAGGAAAGAGAATAGAGTTCTCGTTTATTCCCTTATTTGGTAATTAGTTGTTGCTTTTCATTTTCCAATCAAACTGTCTAGGTATTGCACATGCTTTGCGGTGGAAGCTTTTCTAGGGAGTAGAAATCAATTTTGTACTCGAAAAAGGACATAAGTCGTCCCAGAAATAGAGACCAACCCCTCTAGATTCTGGATGAAGTGAGTGGGCGCAAAGAACTTTTAAGATGAAATAAAAGTGGGGAATGATTCCGAATAATAAATTACGCGCTTTTCAGACACAACTTCATATATAAAGAAACTTTTAAAAAGAGAACTGAATAGAGACTCTCACAAACCACTTTAGACTGAAACTTGGCAATATTTTTCTCTGAGTCGATCATTAAAAAAACTTGACTTAATTTGAAGTTACTCATAGTGGAGTAAATGATGCCTTAATTATAAAAATGTCCTTTTAAATGTCACATATTGATCTGTCCATCAAAGATCAGAACTTAACAATTCCCAATCTTTTCTTTGTTTTATAATTATAAAGATGTCAATAGTAGAGAGAAAGTTCTGATACCGGATAATTTACCACCTGTCTTTCCATTGATTAAATCATCATCAGCACACAAGGATAAGCTTTGTTCCCTGCTTTTATTCTTTTTTCTTTACGTCAACTATGTCCGTTACACGAAATAGAAAGCTAGTACTAATTCCAGGTATTCCTATCGAGCCGTAGCCAGTTGGGTGTTTTGCAACTTTACTAATTGGGGAAAAAAATTGTCGACGTTATTTTAAGATTTCTAAACGCACCCAACAGCAATATAGCTTCTCACAATTTGAATTTAGGTTTTTTGGGGGTTAATCGTTGTAACATCTATTTTGTCACCCTGGCCGGAATAAAAAGTGTATGCTGCTTTTAAAAGCGAAAAATTAGAACAAGAAAACCCTACCAAAGTAGCAAAGAGATAGAACTGATCGAGAGTCAAGCGCTGAAAAGAGGAGAAGTTTCATAAGTTACCAAAATTTCCACCATCGTCTTCTTGACTTATGTACCCCTGATATCCGTGCAAGCTGTTTGTGCGCACCAGTTCGCATGATTATTAATGTTCTCTATTTCCAACCTGTGGACTATATTTTTAAGGAAAAAAGTACACAAGGCACAAAGTTCACTTAACTTTGGTCGAAAAACAGCCAAGCTTTTTAAAGCCACTTGTTCCTATTTTCTGGTCGAATTGCACGACGCCTCTCAATCTCCATTCCAAGAGCCCTTTCAGGCAATTTTACCAAAATTCTTCTCATCTCCTCGCTGCGATAGGCGTACACAAGCGGGTTCACTGCACTGTTGCTGTAATGCATCCATTTTATGAAGTCCATAAGCCGCATGAATCCTTTTCCTCCTCCACCGCCAAGAAGACTCGAACGTTGAAAAATCCAAAGCAGGGATACCACAAAAAAGGGAAGCCAGGAGGCTAAGAACAACACAGTCACGATGACCATCGTCGTGACTGTTCGCCTTTCTTGTTGAAGCCTTTTAGAAAGGACCGATGTCTCGGCGTTTGCTCGTTTCCAGTTTGCATTCATGTTCTTGACACCCCAGTGGATACTACTGTACATGCCAATGAGGACAATGAGAGGGACAGCGAAGCCTGCCACAAATACCAGTAAGCCACGATATTTTTGCCATGTTGGGCTGAAATCGACTGAGTAAATGCTTGTGACTAGCACGGAGTAGATCCAAGTGGTGAACAGCATTTTGTAGTAACGCTTGTGGGAGCTCACTCGGTGCTTAACGGGCCAACAGATAGCAAAGTATCGCTCGATACTTATGGCTATGAGGTTTGATGTGGAAGCCATCGCGCTAAACACGTCGAATGCTTGATAAAAGGCTCCTACAGTGGCACTTGGTAGACGGCATCTTTTGAAAGAGGGACAGGACAGATGGTAGATCCACAGTGGAATTGAAACTGCCCCAACCATCAAATCTGACACAGCCAGGCTGACAAAGAACATATTTATGGCAGCTCGAATTCGAATCTTCTTGAAGGCGACAATAACAAAAGTGTTTCCAGTGATGGTCATCAAAGAGAGCACGACATAAAGAGACATGAAGATGAAAACTTCATTCATGGAACGGAATGATGTGTTGTTCGATGCCTTTTCGTCCAGATGAGTTGTGTTCTCCATCTTTAAAGCTTCCTTTGCTTGATGATTGAACTTTTTTCAGCCAACAGAAATTATGATGCTCTTCGTTAACTCTTGTTTATCTGGAACTTTGTGTTGGAGAAGACTATACTTATGCTGTCTCTGTCGTCCACTAAGACAATCAACCGGGTTTATCTTGGCGCTTCATCCAATGAGAAATGGATCGTGTTATATATCGATTGATGAGGATTTACGTCAAACTCATTATTACATCAAATTTGTTGTAGAAGACTGTCGATGTTCGTATTTCTGAATCAGAAACATAATCGTAAATTGTGTACACCCTCATAACTGATTCAGAATTCATGAGCTCTTGCCGCAAACCTTTTTGGCAGTCATTACAGCTTTGGGGTAGTATACACATATCGATTACATTGCATGTAAAATAATAATATATGTTTGTATGTATGACATGAGATGTCGACTTGGCCGGAGCCACGCTTGGTGTAATGAGGCCAAATGTGGATTTCCTGAACTGAAAGAACTCAGAAGCAATATTTCTAGAGTAGTGACATCAAACCTGACCGGCTTGAACACTTCATGTCCTTCGTTAGCCGGTTTCTTTGCACGAATTTTTTTTTAATTGAGATCGTCGTCAGTGTGAGAATTACACAGCTGTCGCGTCTATGTTTATTTATTAGCCGGATGATTTAGCCTTCCTTGGTTGGAGCACGTACAGTTTCTAGCCTACATGGTCTTTCTTGAAGCGCTTACGGGTTTGATCTCTTTGGGATCAATTTTAAATAACTACCGACGATATTTAGGTCTTCCCCTCGGGTGGTTCAAAAATAGACTTTCTTCATCTCGTTGTAAGGGTGTACCCATGGTTGGAAAACCAACTAAAAAATAAGTATTGTCACTTATTAGCGGTGACTTTGTGTCCATGAAAGCAATATAAAGTTGTCACTTTTTGAGAGAACTGTACTTTTGTATTCAATCTCCCCACTGAACCGGATAAGACAACTTCTGGTCTTGTATTGAGATAATTGTAAGTCGCATGTCAGAAAATAACTGATATCCTTGATTCGAAGCTCTTCAGCTCTGCTTGTAAAGCAAAACCGCCAAGGAAGTAAGAACTGATCAACTAGCTTACTATATTTTTGCTAAATGGCTTATGAAAACATATTATTTCCATTTATTTTCCAACACTTAAAAAAGTTAAATCGCTAGATGCCAGTTTTGTCTTTGACACTATGTTACCGCGGTTTTCTATCGAATCCTTAAATTTGCCAAAAGCAGCCTCAGCGTAAGCGACTCGGTTGCTTCCTTAAGTCACCATGACATGACAATCATATTTTCAATTAAAAAAATTAAATAGGAGAAAAATTAATAAGAAAAAAAGAGGATAAGAAGGCATATGTTGTCTTCTGCAGTTAATTTTAAAAAAGCGTGGGACGAATCTCAAAGTATTGATAGAAACTGGATAAGAAAACATTCAAAAGTAGATGAAGGCTTTTTGTTCCATTCGTCTTAAATCATAACGCAATGCCAGAGACTTTCATTCGAAGCTCTATATATATATATGGAGAGATGACGTTCATGTCGGATCCCACTAATTTCCCTAGGAAGCATTTGAAGTAGATGTCTAGTACATTTTTAAGTTTCCCGGCGCGGTTACCAGATGGGTAATTAGCCAAAGACGAAATGTTGCGAGGAGTATAAGGACTGTGGCGACAGTAAAGAAGAATTTTCTTCCGGGATGGCAAGAAATCTTCCCTTTGTCTTTCTCGTCTTGTTCCTCAGACAACTTGATGAAATACGCTGTCATTGTGATATTTTCTTGAGACAATGGACTCTTTCTTTGACGATCAGTCATTGATTAACTAGTAGTTTTGAAGAAGTTCAGGTCCGCTATGTGAAGAGCTTGATTTTAGAGATTGTCTGTGCATTCAAGATAGTTCTATACTGTACCATTTAGTTCACGTACCATTTCTCCTTCCATCAAGAACCAAGTCACAGGTGAACGACTTGAAACAATTTAAAAGCTTAAAAGGTTGTATCTTAATTTTCGAAATTTCACAATTGAAAAGGTCTGGTTTGTCATCCGTTTCTCTATGAGGCAGGTCCTACAGGTGGGTCCATTATAAGGTGTCAAACGGAGATATCTTGTCAATTTTAGAAAAATAAACAATTCGTTTTGGCTAAAAGTAATTGGAACTGACAGGTTCAATTACCTAAAGTTATCCGCTCTCTTTCAACCTGAAATTTGAAATAAAGATATCTGACTGGCTAAAGCGCGCGCATCTTATCCAACAGAATTTATTTTGAGCAAGGGAAAAACTCGTTGATCCATGAATACACAGGAATGTGTCGCTTGAACGCATCATTCATCATTCCCACCCTGCTCATGTAGTCTGGGACCCTGAGGACGAACAACAGACGAGCAATACTTTGCTGTAATGGAGACAAAACAGAAGTTCGTCACATAGCTCATAATTCTTTCAGGTGTTTTAACCCTTTCGCTTCCGAGATCTCATCAGTAATTATCTCTACTGTCTGCCATACAATACTTATGATTTTATTTCGGAGAATTTGGTATTAGATCAACTAATAATCCCCTAATTAATATTTTCCTTTATTCTTATTCTTTATCACTTGTGTACTTGATATTGTATCGCTATTGTAAGGAGAAATTATCTCTTGGTCACTCATGTTTATGCCCCCCGTACAAGGCACCAAGCATTGCATTGCAATTTAATTGTTGGAGGCAGCAATGTGGAGAGTTTTCGACCAGTTTTTTCACTCACCCAAATTAAAGCCCATCCTCAGCGATCTATCTCGTTTAATTTTTATTTACAGGAGTCATACTGTTCCTTTTCGTAAAAAAAATAAGTATAACCAAAAACAAAACGGAGAGATACTTACGAAAAGCAAGGTTTTATAACACAAAAAGGTCCACTCTTACCATGCCTCGGTGAGTCTACCCGGTACCTGTGTTCGTGAGGCACAAACAAAAAAGCTCTAACCAAGAAGAGCTTGTTTGTGACTTTGTTTAGTTCCTATACCCTGGCTTTTTTCCGCATCATTAAATCAAACGAAGGTCATAAGCGTTATCTACTGATAATATCACACAGGAGAGAAAAATTATTTGTAAGTCACCGGGGCAAATGTCTAATTGAAAGGAATTTGAAAGTAGCTGGCGGATATTTAGGTACGTATTTATTATATCATAATAATCATCTACATATCTGTAGTAAAACGTTGGTTTCTCGTACTAATTCTATACGAGAATAATTTTTCCTTTGTGATCTTGAGAATGTTTATCTTTACACCGAGTTATGGGTTTATGTTTCTTTGAAATAGCGTTCATTGATAAACGGTTCGTATGAAGACTTGTAGGGTAATATATTTGTGAATTATTCAACTTCTCCCTTTTTTGGTTCGTTAGCTTTTAGGTCCACTAGTTGTGTTTAAAATTGGATTTTAAACGGCGGAATGCAAAGTTTCGAGAGACTTCTTTTGAAAAGAAGATTCTGATGGTTCTAGAAATATCTCTCCCGTTGTAATGATTCAACTTGACCCTCCTTTAAAAACGCAATTGGAGAAGGTAGACAGAGGGACTGAACTCCTCAATTTTCTGAGTAATCACTCAAAACTCAACTTTAGGTAGTCAGTTCCCTTCAGAGCTAGATTTACCGTGAACCACCTCACGCACATGTTTAAGTAGAGGAAAAAATTAATTGACACTACTTGGCACCATTTGGATACCTGCATGTGTATAATTCGCTGCAAATATTTCATGTTTGCAGATTCCACTATGATGTTTGGTAACGGGTGTGACGAAATATCATTCGTAATAATCTGTGCATTCTTACGTAATTTCGTCCATTCTGTTCAGCACAAAGTTCTATATAATGATAACGCGCAAAAATCAAGACACTGAGAGAGGGAAAGGTGCAGATAATCCATGCGAATCCAGGTCCTTCCTCGCTCAACAGGATCCAGCAGAGACTTCTACAAAATCTCTCTTGCTGTCTTTATTGTTATCTACGTATTTTTGTGGTTATCAAAACCTTTAGTGAAGAACGAGCTGGACTTGGCTGGTCACAAAACATCCATTCGGTTACGAGATATAGTAGCTATAGATAGTATATCCTCGTCGATTGTAAATGAGTCCCCAAGCAAGGAAGTTGCTGATTTCACCAAACACTGGTGTCGACAAAGACGAGCGAGACGGGATTGGCAGGCCATGATTTTACCATGCAAAAACAAAATGCCATGGAACTCGTCAAGAGACATTGAAAAAAATGCCACCGATCCAGATGCAAGCTTTATCTCACTGTGGGATATCAGACCCGCCGGGCAATACAGCCGTTTTAGCATCCAGTCTCAAACAAAGGAGGGTCATCCTAAACTCGAGGGTGGTGACTCTTGGAGGGTTGTTATAAGGGGACCGTCCTTTATCTCTCCGACAGTTATTGATCACGGAAACGGAACATACGAAGTTCTGTTCCTTGCAATGGAAGCTGGAGTCTACAAGGCAAGCGTCATTTTGGATTTTACTTCATGCAATGGATTTAAGGACCCTCCAGTGGATTGGTTTATTATTGGTGAGTCAAAGATGGGTTTCATTTCCCAGTATGCATGTATTTTGCATATTACCATTGGATTGCTCATTCGACGCAACAAACCATGCTCGATTAATGCTTTAAGGAAAAAAAAAATTAGAAACGATAAAATGTGCTTGTGTTGCATACCTGCGTAGGGGTTTGTCCGGCATTAAATATTTCACAACCACTTGAAGATCCGATCACATCTTTCTTTTTTTCTCATTTCCAAGGCAATGTACAAGGGAAATATCAGCGGCACCCAGAGGTTGAAGGAAATAAGGACTATCTTCAAGCGCCGTTATGGGGTGGGAGTCCTGTGGAATTACCAATTCCTCCTGCTAAGAATGGTAAGCTCCTCAGTTTTCTCGAAAACTTCAACTCAATGAAGCAGTTCAAGGTTGCATGTGCTAGCTCTTAATTCTACTGCCAGTCTCTCCTGACATTAGCCTGGTTGTAACAATGATATAAGATCATAAATCAGGAAGTAGTGGACTCCTAAGTATTGTGTTTACTTAATTGACTGAGCTTTGACAAGAATGCATTACCCGAATTACGGACGGGTGCTTACTTTTCGTGAAGGTAATTATTTGGTGAGGTATGGTATTGATTGCACCAAACTGATGTACCATGGAAATACTTTCCAACTTGCTGACCAAGTTTCGTTAAGGAACTGGTTTGCAATTCTAAGAAGTCTACCCAAGCCTCTTGAGATCTGTAGGCGATTTTCTAATGCTCTTATGTTATTCAAAGAAGGAACTTTTTATTCTCTATGTAAGCGAATATGTCCAGCATATCAAAGGAAACCATGGATAGAATAAGGAGTAAAGGTTGTCAAGTCAAATGCAACTTTCTGTGGGACGGATATGGACGATGGGTGCGCAATACATGGAAGCCACATTTCAAAGGTACTCATAAGTACGAATTAATTGTAGCTTTCCATTAGATGCTCCGTTCGTGATTTTGTCAAACCAGTGGAGAGAGGAAACAATAACCAACAAATTAGGTAACCAATAACCTTTTGTGAACCAATATTTGGTGAGGTGAAAGTTAAAGGTTGTTGGTAAAAACTTTTTTCTCCTTTTTTTTTTAGACATTATTGACACGCGACCCATTGGCAGAAAAAGGGGAACTTTGTGGGTTTATGGTGATTCTGTCAACGTTTTCTTTGCCCAGTCACTGGTACAGAGAAGGATATGTAGAAACATTTTCAAACGATGCAATTTCAGTTATAATTGGATTTATCCTGTCCATAATGTTACAGCTGCTAAGAGACAATATGATAATTTAGATTACAACAATGAAAAAGTTTTGGAAAACTTTCGCCGCATTGTCTACGATCCTCAAATGGACGAAAACAGCGCCATTGTACTAAACTTTGGACTTCATTTTGTTGAAAGCACAAACTTTACGAGCTACAAAAAACTCATTGCTGGCTTAGTGAGAGTGTTGAAAAATGATGTGACAACGAATGGGACGTGGAGGAGTTATCGAGGAACAGTTATATGGAAAACAACCACAGCAATAAACAAAGAAAAAGCAAGCAACATTCATCTTGGACATAAGAGGTTTATTACACAACAGGCAAGTGACTGCGAGCTGTTTGCGAAACCATGGTTACGCCATGTGTATTTTCTCTTTTGCAATTCATTTTTCCTCTCTCGTGTTTTTTCGATCTTTATTTCATGACTGAAATCAAATGGACGCCTCGTAGGAAATATAATCCTATTCCAAGAAGGAGAACTAGGAAATTCGCTTGCATTCATTAGAGTTGTTAGTTTGGGTCTCCTTTTTGCCATAGTTTTGATTGCTACTAATTATTTTCATCTTCATTGCTGTCATCATCGACATTATTTTGTTACTGATTTCTATTTTTGTCCAACTGATTGATACTTATCAATTTGTATTGCCCTTATAGCGAATTTTGCTGTACAACTCTTATGCTACTACGCAGATGTGCAGAGCTGGGTTTCTCGTACTTGACGTCTTCCCCATAACAGATTCTTATCCGCAAGGGACTGGAACTCACGGAGCCCATGGACCCGTCAAGAACGACATCGTGCACTATAGCAACCTCGCTTTTATACCTGCAGAGGAGTTACTGGAAGAATATTTTGGCGGAAAATGACCTTGGAAGCTATTAGAACGCACACAAATCAATAGCACGGAAGGGATCCAGTGATAAGGCAACTAGATACGGCATTATAAAGTGATTAACACTAAAAAAACCTGTGCTTTTTCGCGACTTTTAGACTAAAATGACCTTATTCGGAATCAGGTGTCACGTGTTTGTGAGTGTCCTTCTCAGATATATTGCTCATCACTGAAACATAAGTTCAAAGGTGGAACTCATCAATATATTGGCGATGCAGTGTAGAAACTAAGTTCCTTTTGTGTAAAATACATAATGTATTTTGGCGCCATAATTGAGAAATAATGATTCCGGACCCCATGAAGAATCATAAATCTGACCCGAAAGTTTTTAATAAACTAAAAAATTATTACGTGAAGATTGTTTTGAGAAATAAACGTAAGAAAGGCTGAGTCTCTGTAGGTTCCCTAGAAAATAATTAGTGAATTTCAATAGGAGGACAGAATGACAAAAAGGCAGTTCAAAGATTGGCTATGGCACCCTTATAACTTGGAAGGATCACGGAAGGCCATGTTACTGAGAAAAATTCACTCAAAGCTGTTATTACATGAATTAGGTAAACCCCTAAACGATCTCAGAGGCTACAAAGGGACAAATAATGCAAATAGAGAAATACAGTTTCTCTGGGCGGAAATCAAATGAATCTAAAATGAAGAATCAAAAGTTTCTCTTAAACCTTCTGTTTTTCAAATGAAGTCTCTGAACAACATTAGTTTAGAAAATCGTGTTTTTTTTTAGTGATAAATTGTATTTGTAAGTCTTTGCCAATCATTTTCACATACACGAGAGAGTTGGATTTAGAGAATGTATATTTCATGTCGACCAGTTCTTAATTGACTTAACCAAGGCACAGATCTCATTGTGAGCAGAACATAACAACCTTTTGGTGCATTTCCATGCAGGTTGTCAAATTAAAATGAATAACAGTCATACTTAATAAAAACATGATCAATCAACTCCAACAAGAGGATAAGATTATATTCCTTTTGATTGCAGCATGAATATTTTTTAATGTGATTTCATTTTATGTAGGATGCAGCATATTTGATTCAATGTGGTCGTTTCCGTAAAATCTCCATGCCTGTCTCAGTTGTTCGTAAGTGCATAAAATTTTACAAGGCTGAGTGTCTTTTTTTGTTAAGAATCAAATTCAATGATGCTGTGCACATGAGCCATTTCATATTATTGGGCAGAGTTATAAAAGAAACAGTCTGTCGATGGAAAGATAAAGCTTAACTCTAAAAGCCGAACATCGCATATTTTTCTCAATGCAGCAAAACGAAGTAGATTATTTTCAGTAATCTTATAAATTTTAAAAAAAAGAGTCAATGGCTTAACTCTTCGAGCATCCAAACAATTTCTAGGATGAGCTAGGATCGCGGGAAGTGAGAGATGTGCACACATTCATGTATAAAAGAGAACCGTGATGTCTAGTTCAGTTTTAAAAGGAGAAAATTGAGCTCTTTATTTCTTTTGAATTAACGAAAGGCATGCCGCAAATTTCCATAATGTTTTCGAAATTTCATTTCACTTATACACAGCTAGATGTTATGAAGTTTTTTGATATTTACACATTCAAAATAATTTAGGTAATAGCTCAAAACATATTTCCTATGTCGGAAGCCTCAACCGTGATGAAAACCATTGTCTTAAGCGAAACTGAGAGAGAAAGACATCTAGGAGCACAGAAAAGTTCATTTCCTTTTACCTATCACTAACGCACGCAAACTTATTTCATTAGATAAGTGATTGCATTGTGATCATTCAAACCCGACCGAATGCATATGGAAACACTGTATTATTTGAACTTTGCGATGTTAAAACATTCTTACTAAAAAATTATCTTGTCAGAAAAACAGAAGCCAAATGAATTGCGAATGATGTGAATGGGGAATTGTAATTGATGGTTGTAAAGAACTTATGACAAACTTTCAAGATGTGGATTTTTTATTAAAAGGCTCGGCCGCGGTGAAATTCATAAATCAGGTTATGCTATTCAAATACTGCATGATCCTCAAATTGATTATTTCATCTTTAAATACATGAGGAATCACAAATAAAAAAGAAATCACGTCAACATGAATGTAAACGAGTTTGTTAGAGCCGTGCCGGCATAGAAGAGTGATCTTGGCTCGAGAGCTTTTCGCCGTCATGAGTAAAAGTCGGATGACGAACTTTACTCTTCAAAATGGACAGAATGACTCTGATAAAAATTCTTTAGCAAAACTTGGAATTGGAATGAAAGCAGGGACTGTGGTTAATTTACTTCTTATATTCATCATCGTGGTAGGAAATGTTCTTGTCATTGCAGCTTATATAAAAAATCGTCGACTTCACACTGGCGCCTATGCACTTATCGTGAGCCTTGCCTTCTCTGATCTCCTTGTAGGAGGTGTCTCCCTGCCAATCCGAATCTTTGGCTCGATAATGAACTGGAAAGTAAGTGTCATCGTTGTGGTATTTTACACTGCTCTTGATATCTTCAGCGCCCTTGTGTCAAACCTTCATCTTATAGCAATATCAATTGAGCGTTTCATAGCTGTCTCTAAACCGTTTTACCACCAAACGCTCTCCATCAAACCGTATGCGTTTGCATCGGTGTTGTCCTGGATCTTAGGAATTTTCGTCGCTTGCTCACATCCTGGTAATTATTTGCGGGACAATGACGAACAAAAGCTTAAGTTGAAGATCCTAAAGGTATACGCTACCGCATTGTTTACCGTATGCTTCCTAGGCCCGTTGTCGGTAATTACATTTGTAAACATAGGAATCTTCCGCGTTGCACGAGTGTTAATCCATTGCGCACCATCACAGCACGGGAACCTCAAGCAACGAGTTCGTAAAGAGCGCAAGGCCGCATTTACGCTTCTCGTGATGACCGGATTCTTCTTCGTTGCGTGGTCGCCGTTCTTTGTGGTAAACATGTTCTATGTCTACTGTGTTCAATGCCTCCCTTCCTCGTCCAACGCTCAGTATGAAATGGTAGACATTATAAAGTGGCTGCATTACTCAAACAGTGCGATCAATCCCGCCATCTATGCCTTTCGTGATGCCGAAATGCGCCGAACCTTCGCGAGACTTTTGGGTCCTTTTAAAAGATTTTGTAGAAGTGGTCGAGTGGAGCCGGAATTTCCAAATACACATGAGATTCTCGATTTGTACATTCGAAATTAAAGCAACCTATTTCTGATGCTCAATTCAAACGAAATCAATAGAACTTAAAAACCAACAAACAAGCTAGAGGAATCTTTCGCCCCTCTTCAATTGCCGGGACATTTTTCTGTCCTGCCTTAACGCTAACATAAAAACAGCAATTCGTTCATATAGCTAGAGATATTTGGTACTACTTTTCTTTTCTCAGTTTTATTCACGTGACTGATGTGAGGAACGAGTGATTGCGTCCTTCTGGGTTTAAACGCATGGAAAAACAGTGCTCGGTTAAAACAATAATCAAACGGGTAAAGACATGTTTAGTTTTTAAAAGAAGTCTGAATGAAACTCAATTTTCTTTTGAGAAAACAAGCTCGTAAATGGGAATTTTACGTGATATGACGTGATTACATAATTTCTGGCGTCCCTTGACAAATCTCTTACACTCGATTTTAGGTCTCGTCTTCCATTTCTTGGTCTTTGCCATTGATCTATTCTTTAAATAATTTTTTTTATGTACGTATTTATTTTTTATGGTTAAAGGGCGCTTTATTTCATTCGAATTTCTATTTTCAGCCCCTATTGTGTTTTGATTAACTATTTCTGTTATTCATGCTTTTGATGAATGCGCATTGACATCAGGGTTCGAAGGAACTGACCACTGCTGTGTACCAAGAAAAAAAAAGGAAATGAAAAGAGAGAAGGAAGACAGAGAGAAACTATGGCAACACTAGAAATGATTTATTCCATCAGTATACCAAGCTAAAGTGATGTTGTCGTTCTGAAATTTCCTCACTGTTTACTGATAATGTAAATACGTTGTACAAAAAATGAAATGTTACCTCGCCAAAAATAAAAAATGATAAAATGATAGAGATAATAATAGGAATAAAATATTACCGGTTATCTGGAAGTTTTTTGTTCAATTCCTTGTCAAGAACATGTTTACTTTTCCTTATACTTGCGACAGATAACACTGACCGATTTTTTGGAAAAATGAATTGATCGATATTGTGGCCCTCCTAATGAAATATGAAAGTAAGGCTATCTTCGAGATACTCTAAGCCTCATGCTTTAAAAGAAGGTAAATGCGAAGATTTCCATAAATGTCTCTTATATTTATGTCATAATTAAAACTCATTCTCGCAAGAAAAGGTTTTGTGCTTGCAGTAAATGAGGAAGCGCTGTTCTTTGAAACTCAAACTAGCCTGTTCATCATACTCCATATTTACATTAGTATTCACACTACAAGGATAAGTCGAAAGCATAAAAAACAATAAATTGAGAAATGAAGCTCTCATAATTCAGCTTGAATAAATTCCTCGAAACTGGTTGAAAATTACATTAGGTATTTATTTTTTCCCTAAATCAAAGGTCGAGAATTGTATTATTTTACAAATCTCTTGATCTTCATTTCAATGCTTTCAGCCTTTTATTGATAAGGACGTTTGCTTGTAAAAAATGTCGTGAGATTGTTTATATGCCTTAAAATGCTTCAAGAAAATGTTCTTTATCATTATGACTGTACTACTTTCTACATTATTGGTATTAATAAAGTGTAGAAATCGAATTTTTGTAACTTATGCTTCACCGCGATGATATAGCTTCCGATCCTTTTAAACATTTGCGATCTCAGTCTACACTTTTAGTTACTTCACTTGCGTCATTGTTCTTTGCGTTAACCAATGGATGGCTGAGGGCCATATACGTTTTGATTTATTTGTGTTTCATTAAACCACGACTCTAAGTATCACTTTTCCACATTTATTTGTAAGACAACTTTCAACAATACGCTTTTAATTTACATTTAGACAACTGAAAATATTTCCAAATATCTCTATACTTTTCATTCCCTTTTTTCTTTTGGACTTTCCTCTGTTTCCTCAGCCTCATCGGCAAAATCAAAGGTTTCACATGATAAAATTTGTGGCCATTCAATTATATGTTGGTCGCTTTTTAGAGCTTTTGACGATTTGTATCTTAACTGCAAGAGTTATCGTCTTTCTCTATTCTCTGAGAAAAAAAAGTGACAGCCACTGTTTTCATTTTCTATTCCCTTTCAATTACTAGAACGTTCTTATGTCAACCAAACTTCCGTAAAACTATTGAAATGGAGTATTCTTTGACAAGGTGGAAATGAGCTCTACAGTTACTTGATAATATATTCGATCGAGACGAGTGAAATGAACGTACAGTCGTAAAATATTGCGACCTTAAGATACGGTAATCGGAATGCAGGCCTAGAAAACCGCTCATCTGCAAATGCTGCAACAGTAATCTCCCGAAGAAATATATTTTCACACCCGTGGAAAGTGACAATTATGTTGTTTCCATAAACTGATTTAAGTAAAGGGTAGAAGAAAAGGAAGAGCTGACAAGCAGCTGTTTACACCGGAAAAGAAGATTTTAAAACGTCAATCACCAACTGCGCTTGATTTATGTGTTTGTACTTTTATTTAAAACTCTCCGCTTAGATTTGAACTGATTTTTATTCTCTTAAACTTGCTGAGCGCGAGGCGAAACAAGGTGAGGAAAAAAGGGGAAATATGATGGGTGAGCGAAACAGATCCATGATCAACAGTGGAACCGAAGCACTTAACAATTCACTTTCGCCTGACGCGTTACATCCCAGATCCGAAGTGGATACCCTCGTCTTTGTTTTCTTTTCAGTTTTACTCGCACTTGCAATCGTCATCGGCAACTCAATCGTTATGACTGCTTTCATTCACAACCGAAAATTGCGAAAGAGAGGCAATGTATTTCTGGTCAGCTTGGCTTGTTCCGACTGCATCGTGGGAGTCGCCTCCTTACCGCTTTGGATCTGCATCTCAGGCCTTGGAATCAGCAAAGGCGAGGTTTTCTACGAGTTTTTCATTAGCTTGGACATTTTCAGCGCTCTGACATCGGTATTTCATTTAACAGCCATTAGCGTCGAGCGCTTCATTTCTGTCTCAAGGCCATTCTTATATCAACGCCTTTCGTCTCGAGTTTACACGGCGACGATTACATCGGCATGGCTATTGGCAGCCCTCATTGCTTCGTCAATTCCACTGCAGAAACTGTTCAAGCTTCAACGCCTCTACGCGCCGAGTTTTACTACTGTGGGGTTTCTTGGTCCACTTGTAATTATCAGCTCAATGTACGCTGGGATATTCCGCATCGCCATATCACTGAGCCGCCATACACCTGGTTCAGACGGGACTTGTAGAATATCCTGCCGGGAAAAGAGTCAATTAAAGAAAGAAATTAAAGTGGCGATGACCCTAACAGTGGTATCTGGATTCTTCTTTCTGGCATGGCTTCCATTTTATTCACTTTTAATGATTGCTGTTTACTGTCCTCAGTGTTTGCCTGCAGGCCGCGATCTTCAGCGCCTGGTGGAAATCGTCAAATGGATGCATTACTCAAACAGCGCTGTAAATCCATTCATCTATGCTTTCAGAGACAAAGAGATGAAACGAGAATTTCTGCAGCTCCTCCAGTTCAAGAGACTATCAGACATGCTTACTCTCTGTTTGAGTAAATATCGCGCAACAGCACAAGACATGTAAACATACGTTTTGAAAGCGTCAGAGGCTCAAAAAAAAATCTCTTCTAAACCATAAATGTTTAAACCACTAAGTGTTCTCTGGTGAACGCAGAGCTTGTTGAGACCGCTGTGCTGAGAGTCTCTTAATGCACGTTTTCTTTTAAATTTTGAGGGTTCATATATCGCACATCTTAACTCAATAACACCGAAAAACTGATATGAAGCTGTCTAATTTATCTTATTCATTTCCGCCGAAAAGTTTTGCAAATTGATCAATAGATTCTGGAGATGTCAAGGAAAAAGGTAGTTATGAAGAAGCTAGCAGTTCTGTTTGACGTAGAATATCATGGTAACGATTGAGTAGGAGATACTTTACCAGGGATATATCTTGATATACGTCTTACATTGAATGTGTTAGCGTTTGATGTTGGGTAAAGAAGAAAATTTTGAAGACCCTTTCAGAGATGACAATGCAGTTCTTTAATTTACCGTGTTCCAAAAGGCGTATCGCGATTGATGATCCAGTCCCTGTATATGACGACTTCTGATTTGATTATCTTAAATCTAGAGATCTAGCTGTTCTTTGAGTGATTTGAGTCATAAAGATATAAGATCCTTCCGCTTAAATCTCTAAACAACTGATTCAAGATTCGTTCGCATCTCGATATTCCCAATATCAAACGTGAGTTCGGTAAAACTTGATTAGTGTCAATCCGATGATTGCGTGGTAAAGTTTGTTACATTTCAAGGATAAATTCTTTAACGGCGGACTTTTGGTTTAAGTATCTAGAACGTGCACTTGTAATCCTTATTCTGAAAACTTGTAACATAACAGTCGTGATGTGTCGTAACTAAGTAGTTATTACTGTGACTGCATTCCAAAACTGCATGAAAGTTCCTTATTCATGTGACCTGGCCTGTTAAAAGAAATATAAACACAATGAACTCTCCGCTGACGGACACTCGCATCAGAAGAAAGCTCTATTTACAGACACTATTTTTCATTCCCGTTTTGCCACCCAGCCAGTAAAACTGTGCTTTTAAACACTCCCGTAAGCGTAAGCATTCTCCTAAACAAACGCGGACACAAAATTGGATTTTTCATTTGTCTACGCTCTATTGTAAGCGGACACTTCATGCATAATAATTGACTCTTAGCGATAAACTTTTCCTTAATTTGCAAATCAACAAAAATATGACCTTTGACAGAGCAAAGCGGGAAAGCAAGCTGTCCGTTCTTTTGACATAACATTTATGATGTCAAGTTACGACCACATTCGTCATGATCTACTTTTCTCCTTGAATCTCCCTTAAGCGGACTTCCTTCCCAGTATAATTTTTTTCTTTGGTGTCCGCCAAGGGAACAATTCTCGTAGGCGGACGCTCTTTCCAATTCCCGAGAGAGTCCGCTTTCGAGAGAGATGACTGTACATCACATGCACTGCGTGAGCGGAAGTAATGATTAACAAGATTGATTAAGAGAACACGTAGCAGCAACACGAAATATGAGTAGTCCAGACTTCATAAGAAGCTTGCCGGCTGCGCTTTTATACCAGAGGCTTTTTCTCAAGCCAGCAATTCTCTGCCGCCTTGCTGAACGTTAATATGAAGAAATCAGAGCCAAGACAAGCCTCTAGCACTCTTGTTTTCCTCACTGTAATCTGTCTTGTAGGATTCATTCATGTTGAGGTTGAACTTCACGTTCATCGAAAAATGCTTCAAGAATTAAATCAACTAAAGGAAGAAAACCTCGAGCAACGAAACAAGGGAAGTGACGAAGATATGTCTTCCTTGGAACATACCCCAGATAAAGGTAAATGAAAATCGATGTGTAGCAAAAATTGCCGTTACTGTAACACTGAACATCGGTAAGCAAAAAAATTATAAATGTGGGATGATTCCCCTCAAGAAGAATAGTTTAAGTTCTTAATGGGAGACAAAAACTTTTCATTGTAGCTTTAATAAATCAGCTACCGCAGAAAACGTATCTCGCATCCGTATTAGCTTCATCCTTGAACTCGTCCTTTCTTGCTGAAACCTGACATCGCTTAGCTTCCGTGAGCCTCACGACTTCCTTAAGAGATAAACAAAAGATGGTGATATTTCAAAAGGAAATATCCACTTGTGCTAGGAATAGGCTTCATTAAGTATACATAACGTTTCAGCCAAATTGACTTCCTCGTTGCATGAGGTGCACATCTCACTATATAAACCACGATATCTATCAAATCTAAATAGCAACACGTAAACCTAACAGATATAGAGGGAAGCATAGAAGAAAGGAAAAAAAACGGTCAGATAATGTGCCAATTACTATATCGGGAAAATCTAGTCTAAGCTGCTTTGATATGGTAACGCCATTTGATATTATATCTGAATCAGTAAAACCTCCTATTCCAAAGGGAATATTATCTATGGTTAGGGTTGTTGGTTAGATCTACAAGGTCATCACAGGTTGTGGCTGTCCATTCAATATTTGGGCGTCTCGTCCAATCCGACCCTAATCGTACCCCAGAGACCAAATAGACATCGAGGGGAGTTCAGCAAGTTTTACTTTGCTGATTTACATCTGAACCAACCTGAATTTGTCATTAAATTATGTTAGTGGCGATTTAACACAAAAAATAACAGTGTGTACTATTTCCGTCCGCTCTTATTCACAGATCTAGAGTTTCACGTACGTCACAAGCGTCGGGTGCAAACCCTCAAAAACAAAAGAAATGTTAGCGACAGCATCGATCGCGATGTCATCCAAAGGGAAGTGCGACTTGCTTTGAGCGACATAACCTGTAATGTACATTGCCCCAAAAGCACTAGGGGAAAACGAGGAAGACCGGGCCTCAGAGGCCCTCCAGGAAAACACGGACCACCCGGACCACAGGGGATTAAGGGCCCTAGGGGAAACCAAGGCCCCCCGGGTACCCAGGGACCTCCAGGACCTATAGGACCCCCCGGAGTCAAGGGAAACCCTGGCAAATCCATCTCAACTCCTTCGATCGTGGTACTTCCAAAGTCTCAGGTGGTAAACGCAAGTGGAACAGCCTCGTTTCAATGCCTGGCTGCTGGAAATCCAGAGCCAGAGGTGACATGGTTAAAGCAGAACTCAACTCTTCCCACGGATAAGCGTATTGTGGCATCACGTGGAAGTCTGGTGATCACGAGTGTTACGTCAGGGGATGACGGAATGTACACTTGTATTGCAAAAAACATCTTGGGAATGATGAATGCTACAGCTGCGTTGTCTATTCAAGGTTGCTAGCGTTTCACTTTTTGTCTTTTAGCATATTTATTTTGTTACATTTGATCAGTTCTTATTTACTCGTACGATAAGACGGAATAGTGATAGCTTAGTATACTATAGCCTCACTTGCATGCGTGACATTGGGTAGGGTACGACAAGCTGGGAATAGGAGCTGATGTCCTAAAGTTATAGAAAAACATGGCCTACCTCTGTCTTTATCAATGACAAAGTATTTCCTATAATACACTAAAGTTTTAGTTTCTTTCTGTTTCCTTTTTCAGTTGGTGCCAACATTATTCGGAAACCTTCGTCTGTACTTGTTGAAGAAAACCAAAACGTGACCCTGGTCTGCCAAGCCAGCGGTCAGCCGACTCCAACGGTCACATGGCAGAAAGCCTTCAGCCCACTACCGAGGAAAAAGACGACAGTGGTCAATGGAACCCTGACCATTTCTAATATAGAAAAAGCAGACGGGGGAGCTTACGCATGCGTAGCAACGAATCTACTCGGAGAAGACTCAGCTGTCGCCCAAGTGACAGTTCTTGACACACTCAAATTTAAAATAACCCCTCCACAAAAAGTGACTGTATCAGCCTCCAGCAAAGTAGTTTTACACTGTGCAGCACAAGGTGCACTAAATATATTTTGGAAAAAGTCGGGTCAAGCACTTCCTCAAAATCATGTTCTTTATCCAAATGGAACTTTGCTGCTCACGAAAGTTTCTCCAAATGAGGCTGGGAGTTACTCATGTGAAGCTAAAAATTTTCAGCGGTCTATCGAGGCAACATCAGTCGTCGAAGTTTTTAAGCCCGGGCCCAAGTCCGGCTGCAGCAGAATAAAAGCAGAGAAGCCTGGTGCCCCGTCAGGTAATTTTATTATTGACCCTGATGGCAAAGGAGGCGTGACACCCTTCAGTGTGTACTGTGACATGAGTGACAAGGGTGGAGTTGGCGTGACTGTCATCAGTCACGACAGTGAGAGTAGAACTCACGTCGGAAATACCAATGGATGTGAATCCCCAGGATGTTACAGGAAAGATGTACGATATACTGGAGTCAGCACCGCTCAGCTAGCAGCGCTCACTCAAGTCTCAAAGAACTGTGAACAGTTTATCAAGTACGAATGTAAAAATGACGTAGCGTCGGTTTCGGATGGTTATGCTTGGTGGGTGTCACGTAATGGAACACGGATGAATTACTGGGGCGGAGCAAGAGGTCATTATAGAATGTGCGCATGCGGAGTGACAAACTCTTGCACCACTAGTAAAAGGTGCAACTGCGATGGTAATTGGTTTTTGTTTAATAAAGCCGGCTGGAGAGAGGATAGTGGCCTTTTGACAGACAAGTCTGTCCTGCCCGTCTCACAAATTAGACTTGGTGACTTGGGGGACTGGCCACGAGAAGAAGGATATCACACATTAGGAAAGCTCAAGTGTTATGGAGAAGCATAAGAGCCACAAAGGAAGGATATGTTGCTAACATTTCCAAAGCCTTTCGTGAACTAGACACTCCTCAAGTAACTTATTACTATTTGATCGAAATATGTTAACTCCGTAACCTTGTTTAGCCTTGAAGCCATACTTCAATTTTTGAAAAACCGTACAGACGGATGGTATCGAGACCGTTTACCACGTAATCATGGGAGGTATAAAAAAGAGTAGTTTCCCAGCGTGGCGCGAAATTTAAATAGACTTTAAAAAAAAATCGTGGGTCACGCGGATAGGTTCTCTCAGTTTTTAATCTCTTGAAAAAATATTAGTAATGATATTATCAGAAGTAAATAAAGAAGTAAATAAAGCTTACGTAACATATGTTAGTGAGGTCTAATGATAATAATCCTTTCCAGTGATATATATTATTGCAGAGAGCGTAATTACCATCACGTGACTGCATGTTACATAGAATCATTTAAAGGTAAGATGTTATTCTGTTTGTTTTCTTTGAGCTTTTTTTGTGTGTAATATAATCGAACGATTTTACGAGCCATTCAGATTTCCCAATTACGAGGACTAAGCAAAAGATGGACAAACTAGCAAACTGTCAACAAAACCAACAAAGCGACTTATTTCATGTTGAAAACTTTGAGAAGAGAAAGCCTGCGTTCAGAAAACTATAATTGCTTTCCACCAACATATCTTCATAATTTCAATCTTGGATTTTTTTGTGTGTTTCTTTTTGTTTTAATTTGTTGTTGCCTCCTTGGATACTGTTCCAATTATCAAAAGGAGTGAACGAATAAATTGACAACAAATTCTTTAGTAAAGCACAAATTATCAGCAAGTATGTATCTTAGCCATTTAATGAGATTCTAACTTAATAAAAGACCTTAAAAAATTGAGCGAATCTGTTAAAGATGCAGCCATATCTTTTCCGACACAATTAATACGACTTCGAAAGCAACTTGGTCAATATAAAAGGTATCTGTATGGAACAACATTAAAATATTCTAAAATGTAAGGCACGCACATTTCCAAAGCTGTAACTATAATAAAGTGTGGGTTGACCATGACCGTTGTAGAGAAACCTGTTTACATAATACAAGCTAAAAATAAAATTTAGTTGGTAACAAATCCCACGCCCATTACAGAGCAAAATGAAGATTGCAGATTTGGCATTAGAAGATTTGATTAGAGGTTGTGATAAAAAACAAATTGCGATACAGTAAATAAGTAAATAAGATCTTAGAATTCTATATCGCATGGCGGGGACTAGGGCACACATTACGCAATTATGTAATCTTTCAGCCCAGATATATGTAAAATGACAGGAAGTACACTCCCAATAAGTTGTCAATCCGAAACGTCGATATTTTAGATAGCCTTTGATCGTGATCGTGCGAAGACCTTGTAAAACTTTAGTTTTCATTAAAACACACATAACCAAATTTTGAGACTTCTTGGCTACTGTCTCCTGCGTCGGAGAATTCCAGGATATCGCACTCTGATAGCTACTAGCTACTAGTTACAACTGCCAAAGCAATAGCCTAACATTCATTGGGACAGACAAAAATTTTACTTCAGCTGTTTGATCCGACTCTATGCTTTAATATCAAACAACTTGCGCGAGTGGTGACTATCGCGAGATATGACGCAATCCGCAATCAATCAAAGTGCGCGTATCTCGATAATCACCTGAACAATTATACTGAAATAAATCATTCATACGGCTTCTCAACTTAGTAAAGTAGGATGGGCTAAATGGAGCTCTACAAGTTCTACAAAAGTAGACCACGATCCATTTAGCCAGGTGATAACATACGAGTTTATGTTCTATTTGAAGAAGCCGGTGTGGAAGCTCATTGGTGTAATTCCTTTTACTACACCTCGCCCCAATTCCTTGAATTCTTTACCATCCAGCACCAAAAGGTAGGTGGTCTCCTCTGGGATGTTTATTACGCATGACAGCACCACACCGTCATCTTCATCTTTCCCATCAGGCGCTTTGACAAATACAGGCTCTGACGCAAAACCTCCAGGCTCTCCCCACGTGACATACTCCTTGGTCTCTGTATTCACCTTCACCAGGTGACTAAACCACTTTTGATCATCAGCTCCTACACCATAGAAAAAACTGTAGGGCTTGCCATTCTTTTCTGTGTCGTTAATAATTGGAAATTCCACGCCGGCATGTAGAATAGTATAATCCAGGCCGTCAGGTCCTCTCTCAAGGGGCTTTCCATACTTTACATCTCCGAGGTCTTTGAGAGGAAGCTCGTAGCGTCGAATGTCAGGGATATCGAGCTTCTTTACCCCTGGGATTATGGTGGATCGCATGTTATGCAAGTATGTCTGTTTGATGATTGTGTGATCATGGAAACAGCAAGTGTCTACATAAATATTCCCGTCCCTTTCGAAAGCGTTGACCTGATGGAACGTAAAAAACGGATCAGCTGTAAATATTCCAACGTGAGTACCTTTCTTCCTGTCGACAACATGGAATCTGCCACGTTCATTTTCTATCCACTGGAACCAATCAACGACACCACTCTCCTTTAACCGGTGAACGTAAGCTTCCCACAAATTCAGTACCAGTGGTGCTTCAGGAACCACGATATAGTTCTCGGTGATGCAAAAACTGTGGATATACCCAACTCCGTTGGTGGGTGGGATCGAGCAAATCAATTTACCCCCCTCCAGAGGATGCTCGTCCTTTCCCGTCTTGGAGGCTGGGATTTCTATGATATCGTACATAGAGTCTTTAGCGTGTGTCACGGAGATGTTGATAAGTGAACCATCCTCAGTGTGTTGGGGATGTGCTGTGGTGAATTTGATCTTGGCGTCACCTTGTGGGACAAACAACTACGGTGAGTAGTTATTCAAAAGTTGAATGGGACAGATCAATATACAAAGAAATAACCGAGACCTAACGGCTCTCTGATTGGTCAAATCTAAAATGCCAGAAAGAGAAAGAGTTTTATTTTATGGAAGCAGTGCATTCGCCTTCAAACCTTATATTGACCAACAGAAAGTGCAGTAAATATTTAACTGATTAATACAAACTGTTTAACAAGAAATGCTCATTTTACCTGGAAACTCTTTGGCAAAATCGACCTTATCTAAAGTGTCCAAGGTCTTGGGATCGATTTCAAATATGATGTTGGAATCAGCTGCTGCAAAGACTCTGTCCTTCAAGGTAAACACGGAATCAAATGCGTTGTCAAAAGGCACTTCACTCATCCAAAACTTCGACACAAAACGGTCGTAGATATTCTGGCAGGGATCTGGGGCAATAAAAGAGCCGAATTCGAGATGAATGGAGTTTTTGCGTTTCTTTGTGTCTGCATAACTTTCGCTTCGTACAAACTTGGAGCTGTAAGTCACGTGACCATCTTGTATGTGAAAGCTGTGTAGCAGACCTTGGCCATCAAACCAGTGATTAAACGACGTGTCACCACACTCGAATCTACCAGGTCCATTCCTTATCATGGTCCCGGTCAGCCATGAGGGGAGGTTACCTTTAACTTCCGCTTTGATTGGCTCAGATTGCTCATCAGCAGTTTGGAACAAGGGAGAGATGTCTTGCGTTCCGGTCATGGGTACAACAGTGGAAACGCCTGAGAAACAATGGGGTATACAATTTATAGTGAAAAAAAAATTTTCGTTAAAAAATTTTCGTAAAAATGATCACGCATAAAAGAGATAGTTCTGAATTGTTTGTTCAAACGGAAGGAGACATTTCACGATTTCTAACTCAATTCAGTGAAAAGAAGGGTAGGCGATGGTTCTGAGGACTTTATCCCAGAGCTTAGAGCGAATCTTTGGTGTTTGTCTTTTGCTGCTAAGAGAATTGCCTTTCCAACAGATTAATAGGTGTTATAGTGCGCATAAAACGGGGCAATCGCATTCGCCTTCCGGTCACCAACAGCGTTTCAAGGAAAACCCCTGTGCTTGAATTCCCTAGCTAGCTGTCTCTCACAATTAAGGTTCTTAGGAAATTTGCAGCCGTGATGGGTCTTTCGCTCCTATTTTTTCTTTTATCTCAAGGTTGTAATCTTATTAAAACTTTTAAACAAGAGATATTTTTGTGTGAGCATAAGCGTGCGTGCAAGCAGCCCTCTTTATATTAGCGTTTCTTCGTTCGCGAGTAGGTGGTAAAAGCCTTAAAGCAAAGTCTGCAAGGACTCGCAGACCTTAACGTTCCTCTCAGACTGCTTGCCGGCTGAGTGAGCACGTGATTTCAAACGTGACAAGTGGAACGCGTGACGATAGAGAATGTGCTTCCCATCCAACACTGCAAATATTAAAGTGATATTTTACCCAAATGAAATTTTCGCTATATCAGAATTACTGCCATTTTATATTTCACTTAATCTAAATCACTGAAAAATCGGACAGGCCAAGAGTTTGTTATCAACTCATCGAGAACGGCGGTTGATGAGAACATTGTTGAAGTCGTAATCGCGTGATTTACACGTGATCTGAATATCGACAAAATATAAAATTTTAAACTGACACGGCCGAAAGATATTTCTCGTCATAAATGCTAAATTATCGAAAGAAGAAAGAAAGAACTGCAATGATTAGAAGAAATCCTTACTAAGGACAGGAGAAATGGGCTCCTGCTAAGGATAAAATTATTCGTTCAACGTTACGTAACAGGTATAGAAATTTTATTCTCCTCAAAGACCAAAAAAATAAAACATGGAATGACAAACTAAAGGAAGTTAACGTGGAGAACTCATAAAAATTTCGTACACAAGTCACTACATGTATTTTGTGCATGAAATGCATTTCCCTGCCGTGAACTAGAAACGTTGCACGTGCGCGTAGGGTCATTTCCTTAAATTAGCACCAGGTCACGCGTAAAAGGTTATAACAACAAGAACCCTTTGCAAATCCAAACGCTATTTACGACAAACCAACGAAAGATACGAATAAACTTTTAAGGATGACAAACGCGTTAATCAGTCGCTAAGAATCGGAGTTCTTACGATCTACAAATACTAGCCGTGCTGGAACTAGAGAGCGAGATCTCGTCACATTCTTGTTGGGGCGAATGCAGGGCAAAATTGATATCGTTGCTAATGCTTAAGTAGAAGTTTAACTCGAACTAACTTGTTTAGTCACCATTGACTTTTCATGGTGTTATGAATTGAATCGCGTTAAAAAAGCAACTAAAAAGGGGAAAGATAAGAAAATTGGGGTCGAAGCTTGAACGAGCTTTCAGGTGGATGCGTAATTAGTGTTGTTGTTGTCGAAATTGTATTTGTCAAGACAATTTGCATATATAGTCCTATTGCGTTTGACGGTGCTAATCATGATATTGCATTTTGCATCATAGCAGTCTATCGTAGATTACGGCTAGAAAAGAAATTTAAACTACTGAGGGAATGCCATTACATCACTATATTAATAATTTCAGTCGTAATACCTCGAGGCAAAACAATGCTTTTACAGCGTAACAAATGAGTATTTCTACGAACGTCATTATGGAATTAGACTCGGTTAAACTAGCTACCTTCGTTTCACTCCTTAAACTGCATCACAAGTTCAACCCTTTCAGTAATTAAACAATCGTTACAGAGCACATCGAAAGAAGCTAAAGGTTACGACTTACCTTTGAGGCAGCGGATATTCCTGATGTTCCGTTCCCTACTTGAACTTCTAAGCACTGCTGAAGTCCTACTCGTTCCTTATTTAGATTTAAGTATATGTTCATGTAATGGGCATAGAGAGTCCTTAGAAACATTTGCACCGCCTTGTATTGGACCATGAACAGCAGGGTTCTCCTTATCAGGCGGTAACCGGTAAAATTTACCGCTTGTAAGAGCTCTTATTACCGCCTTCAAACGCTCAGAACCCTTAAAAAATACGCATTTATGGTGAACTAATCTGGTAAGAAAGTGTAATAACAAGCCAACAGTGTGCACTATTATAGATCTACGTGTGCTTTAGTTAGCTAACACTGACTGGTACCTTTCGAATTTCGAAGCAAGAGTGATTTTTCGCGGGCTTTCTGCTAAATTTCATGACATTTGTCAGTTCTTAACAGCTCTACAATAGTGCCCCACGAACACGTGGGGACAAAGCTAGTCTTCATCGTGAAATTCTACTTGAAATGTGTTTCAGACAACGGTTTGAAAGAAGCCTTGAAAAAAAAATCTCTCGACAGCGTAAAAATTCTAAAGTTGAGACGATTAGAACACGAATTCAGCTAGTCGATGTGACTCGAAATGAAATGTGTTTCAGACAACGGTTTGAAAGAAGCCTTGAAAAAAAAATCTCTCGACAGCGTAAGAATTCTGAAGTTAAGACGATTAGAACACGAATTCAGCTAGTCGATGTGATTCGATTTCATAGCAATGCGATTCGTAGCTGACACCGCTGATTTTCCAGCGATATGCCATGTAATCTCCCGAAATCGAAGGGAGACCAGTTTACGTCATGAGCAGTTTGGAAAGGGCATAGTCAAATACAATGCAATGCTTTTAAAATTTTTACTTTGTTTTGTTCAACCTCTGAACCTAAAGGTGTATCGTTCGCATTATGAATTTTTCGATAGAGAATTTTTGATGGGCGCGATGTACTGTATACTTTAAGAAATGACAAAGTTGAGAATGACCAGCCGCCTGAAGCTGCAAATGTGCTTTACCGGTTTGAAAAGGTCCCTTACCTGTTGTGCTGAAAACTAGGGAGAACCCTGGAACAGATTGACTTAGCACAATTTCTTTGAAAACTGGCACATAAAAGGCGAGGTAACAAGGAAGAATAAAAAAAAAAAGCACTGTATATTCCTCTCCTACAGTATTTGATGTTCCTTATTCACTGGATCAGTGTTGCCTCCATACTGACCAAACTTCAACATCTTAGCAACAAAGTTAAACTGAGTTTTTGGGACTGGAGCTAATGGAGAGTGGGACAACTGTTATTAAGTATGGATCAATACAGCACTGTTCAAACCAGTCCCTTCAAATATTTTGCATCCAATGTAAACTGTATTCACTGTAGTACTGTAGAAAAGGAGAAGAAGAAAAAGAAAGAAAGAAAGGAAGGAAGGAATAAATGTAGACTGAAAGGAAGAGGGGAAGAAAGAAAAAAAGAAAAAGCAAGAAAAAAGAAAGAAAGAAAGAAAGAAAAGAAGGAAGGAAGAAAGAGGGAAAAAAGAAAGAAAGAAAGAAAAAAAAAGGAAAGAAGGAGTTAAAGAAAGAGACATTATTATGACTATTCAACTGATTAAGTCTCATCCATCACTATCGAGTTTTATTTTCTTCTCTGTTGGCGCGCGCAATTGTATTTTTTTGATCCAATAAATCAAGTAACTTTTAATAAAAGTAGCCCAGCCCTTCAAAATTAGCATTAGCTATCGGTGGGCCACCTCTAAAATTATGGAAGGTAATGATCATTGATATTGTTCTTGTTACGACCTTGTTGTCTTTGTTCTTGTATAGTTTTTTTGCACGTTATTTGACAACAATTAACGATAACCCTTAGAGATTGATTTGATTAAAGAAATCGCACGTGTGACTTTCAATACCTGATTTTCGATCTAAATTTCCATCGAGAGAACCTTCCAGGACTCATGGCTGGAGCTGGGATTAGTTTAATAAACTCACCCCATAAAAAAATTAGAAATATATCTGCAGTATTACGCTTCAGATCATATCACAGACAGATTTCGCATATTTAAACTCTGTCATTTCTCAAAAATCTATATGTAAAGTTTTTTTTCCATCTAGTACAAGAGAGAATCATCTTGGAGGGAAAAAAATTCAGTCCAGTAGTTATAGTCCTTGTTCATGCTGAAAAATTCCATGGAATGACATTGGAGACACCACTTTGGCCACAGCACGACCCAGCTCTTTAAAATCTTTCGCGTCCAACACCAGCAGAGAGGTGGTCTGGTCAGAGACGTTTATGACGCATGACAGCACCACACCGTCATCTTCGTCCTTCCCATCAGGAGCTTTAACAAACACAGGTTCCGAAGGTTGACTCCCAGGCTCCTCCCACTTAAGGATTTCCTTCGTCTCAACATTCAGTTTCCCCAGTTGACCAAATGGATCATCTGGATTTGGTAACAAGCCATAGACAATCTTGTATGGCTTGCCGTTTTTCTCTGCGTAATTAAATTGCGGTAGTTCCAATCCAGTATACAGCAAAGTGTAGTCCAGTCCGTCAGCTCCTTTGGGGAGAGGTTTTTCTACCTCCTCGTTTCCAAGCTCTTTCAGTGGTAGCTCGTACCGGCGAACCTCAGCGATGTCATACTTCTTTTGTTCTTCTTGATTGGTGGAACGCAGGTTAATAAGATACACTTGACGAATAATTGAGTCGTCGTGAAAGCAACAACCGTCCAAAAAAATCTTGCCGTCTTTTTCGAACGCGTTGATGTGGTGAAACACCAAAAATGGATCCGCTGTGAAGACACCAACACGCGTTCCACTTTCTCTGTCGACCACGTGAAACTTGGTGAGTCTGTCTGGATCCCAGCATAGAAAGTCCGCAGGACAAGATCCAGAAAACCTGTGGGTTATAGCCCGCCATAAATCCAGAACGAGTGGCTGTTCGGTAATTATGAAATAATTTTCTGTGATGCAGAAACTGTGCATGTAGCCGAGCCCATTTGTGGCTGGGATGGAACAAAGGACCTTACCTCCTTCCAAAGGACGCTCGTCTGGTTTTTCAGAGGATGGTGGTATTTGAAGAATGTTGTAGGTGGAAGTTCGACCATACGTGGCGGAGATGTTGATCACTGATTTGTCTGGGGTTACGTGAGGATGGGCTGTCGCAGAATTGATCTTTACGTCAGCTGATGGATAGAAGAAAAGCCAATTGAACACTTAGAATAATTAATTGATAACGATTGATTGAATCGTAGTCTACTTTAAACTTAAGACCAGCATGTAATGAATCAGTAAAAGGACAGGCCAACCTCAATCATTGCCAACGCCTTCGCCATCAACATTGTCATTGTACAATAAAGTTAGTCAGGTCGACCTAATCTTGAAAGAGTATGAAACAAAGGAGCCAAACTCATAGAACATAGCTTTTGGTTTATGTCATTACCTGGAAACTCCTTTAGGAGGTCGACCCTCTTCAAAGTTTCCAAGGTTTTGGGATCGATCTCATAGATGAAGTTTGTCTCGGTCGCTGCGTAAGTCTTGCCTTTGATAGGAAACACATTGACAAGAGTGTTATCCCTGCCGATTTCCTCTTTCCAAAACCACGAGAACAAACGGGAGAAGATGTTCTGGCACGGGTCTGGGGGTATAAAAGTGCCGAACTGCATATGAATGGAGTCCCCGCGTTTTAGAGAATCGGCGTAGCTTTCACTTCTTATGAACCTGTTGCTGTAGGTCACATGACCATCTTCTATGTGGAAACGGTGGAGAAGTGCTTGGGCATCAAACAGGTGCTTAAACGAAGTGTCGCCGCACTCGAATTTACCTGGTCCATTTCTGAGTAAGGTTCCCCTCAGCCAGGAAGGGAGGTTACCCTTTACCTCTGCATTGATTGGTTCAGGATGTTCATCAACAGTCTGGAACAGGGAAGCGAAATCCTTTTCGTTGGGCATGATTAAACCAGTATTGCTATATGAAAAAAAAATTCTACTATTAAACAAAGGTGAAACGCTCGAAGGCAACACGTAAATATGGATATGGCATCACTATCACAAGAATTTGGCGCTGAAAGCACACGTAAACGCAGAGAAATTAATGAGCGTTGTAATTCGACTGATATGAATCATTTCTGTAGATGTATCTGAAATCAACCATTACCTGATAAGGAAAAATTCATGCATATTGATTTTTTTTTTCGTCTTCGTCGACGATTCAATTATAAAGGATTAATTAGTCGGGTCTTTTTCAATTATTTCATTTTACCCTCTTTCCTTGGAATTGCAACATTCCAACGAACAGCGACAAAAATTTGGTCACAGTTCAAAATCTTTTCTGGATGTCTTAGAAAAGATGGGTCGGGCTTGAGCCGGGAGATCCAGGTGATGCAATACAAGTTATTTTTTAAAAATTGCCATTTGACCAAAATTTCTTAAGCACCCTATTCCATTTACCACATTGCTTGACTGTTCTGTGATGTTTTAGTGCTCGAACTCAGCCCTGATATAGGATGTGAAATAAGAATAAATTGATCTCGAACCAAATGCGCTATTGATAGGTAAACAGTCTCATTGTCAGCACCTTAAAAATGTATAGAGAGCTGACTGATGTTAGGTGTATAGAGTAAGTGACCTGACTGATTGCGCAATGTAACACAATAGACGAGTTGAAGTGATAATTATGAAACAACAGGAATTTTCCTAAAATAAATGTCAAGATTTACGTTGCGTAATCTGTGGCTGTATGAAACAAAAGTGCCTACCGGGAACGTTGTTTCAAATATACTTCGTATTCTATAACTTCGCAATCGAAATCAATCGGTAACTTTTTAATTTCAATCGATTGATTGATTGCTAGCTGAGGAAAGAGAATGAGACACTGGGAATAAACACCAACTATTTATTGAAAACTAATACTGATGGTGAAAAAACCCTAAACACGAAAGCAGATTTTAAATTTCCCATTTTCCGGCACTTGACTGTCGATATGATAGGGAAAAAAACAGACGTTTTGGCATGGGAAATGGCAAGAACTTTGAATGTAGCAATATTTGGCTGTAAACATTAGTAACTCGTCGACACGGGTCTGTGCACTCGCCTCATTAAAAAATCCCAAGGAGCAAATAAGCCAATGAGAATTGTTGATACGCCCCCAGGCATCTCAATAAAATGCAAATTTTTTTTATACAATCTGCGAGTTGAACAACAGCAAAATCTTTGGAAATCACAGGCAATTTCGATACCGTTAGGCAAAATAAGAACTCAACCATACAAATCTCGTACGCAATTTATCTGGTAATATCTGCAATACAAACACGATTTCTATTAAAGCCGTACGACTTGCGCTTTTGCTTGCCTCATCACATGCACATCGGTTGGAAAACCTCCCATCGAAATATCTTTCTCAAAGGAAACGATCAAAGTGAATTGTACCAGATTTTAAGCGAACAGCTGTTCATTTGCAATTGGTGATTTAATTATGCAACTACAAACCCACATCATTCGTATGAACTAGCTCGATCATTTTTAATGCGTATATTAGGAAAGACAATGCATTTTCTCTGACGAATTGTATTGCGTTATCCTGCCATATTGTCCTGAAAATCTAGCTCATTTATTCGTAATGCTCAAAATAAAATCGCGTCTCGGAGCCAGACTAAACCTTTGAGCAGAGATGTCTGGGATGTCTATGTACGAAATCATCGAACGATCAGTCAAACGAGCGTCTCTGGTGTTTAGGTTCAAAGTGAAGCAAAACATCGCGATATAATATGCATAATAACAAATTTCTCACATCTGCTCTTACCTTCTTCCTTAATAATCGTCACTTTCAAAGACGTTTTGATCTGGTGCAACTCTCGAGCACGGCAGCCAATTTCGCATGTCACGCAATACTACTGTTTGGTCATGCGTAACTAATAATAAAGAGATGGCTTGCCGAGCTAGCGGTGGCAGACAGCGGAACTTCGAATGGGTAAAGCCACAGGGATTTTTGATAGTTACTTGTCACTCCTGTGGGACATTGTTCTTGCTTAAATCTTTATTCTGAGAAATGTTCCGTCTCAGGGTGCATGCACCAGTCTTCGAAATTGCACGACTTAGTGCGTTTTTCTCTCGATTTCCTGACCCAAACTAAAAACAGACAACAACAGCAACGCATGGTTTTAAAGAGAGGGAGGATTTTAAAAGTCCGCACTACATTTTGATCAGAATCGAAGCCCAGCCATCTTTTCATTTTTTTCTTTCTTTTATTTTCTCTTTTTTTGGAATACAGTCTCGCTCAAGTTACCCGAATGAAGAACAAAATCAGGTCAACCCTAACAATCCTAAGCCTAACCTAGTACATTCTCCATAACATTCTTTGTACATTTCCCATAGTACTGAATAGGAGAATTTCTTCAACAATCAATGGATTATTCAGTTAGAGATAATCAATTTTCTCATTATGACCTTATAGTTTCATTCTATGGCGATACAGTTTGAAGAAGTTGGATGTTAATCAGTCTTATCAGGGTTAACAGACGAGCCAACAGACAAATACTTCTTCCAAGGGTGCAATTGTAATTACAGAAAACATAACACACGTCTGCGTGGATCATACAGGATCTAGAGCTATTCATTTTCTTGTGAAGCGTTACAAGCTAAGTTTTGCTCAAAACGGAATGAATTTAAGATAGAATCAAAGATTCTTGTAGTCTTAGCACCTTGTCAAATCAGATTAGAAGTTTTGTTTCATCTTGTTTCTTTCTTTCATCTTTTCTATGGATTTCATTTTATAAAAAGAAATTGGGTCTTTCGAGTTATCTCAATTTTTAAAACAATCTGGTAAAAATCACAGAAATTGGACATGGTATTTCAAATATCACGTCTCTCAAAGAAATAGAAAATTAAAACCAAATCAGATAAACAACAGAAATTCGGGCCAGGTTAGTCAATAACGATACCACTAACCCACTAATCTTTCAATAAGTTACACATTTGTAAGTTCAGGTTTTCCTGGTTATCTGTCTATTAAATTCAGTTTTGCTTCACAACGGGATAAACCTCACAAAAACGTAAGCACATTATGAACATTTTAATAAAAGAGAAAACAAGTTAACTCTCAATATTCCTATGGAATTGTGCCAACCGCCTTTTGCACAACCAGGCCCAGAATATCGTATTACCTCCGAACTATTTTCAATTTCCTATAAGGGGTGTGAAAAGGGCATGAATCGAGCGCCATTTCAGTTCCTTAGCCTTGGGCACTGCTACCAAAGGATCTGTTCCAGTCCTCGAACAGCCTCAGAGAATGAGGCGAAAGACTGGGTCGAATAACTTTCAGAGAGTTCTGGAAGTCGTTGTAGCTAATGCCACGAACCTGGAAGGAGGTAGAGTGGTACAATCAAACATCGATTACAAAACCACTCAAGCGCTAGGAATTAAGGAAAAGGCACTACAGTCTTGATAAAAGATTAAAGCTGCCAAACTGTAAAAGCAAAATAATAAAATAATTACATCCCACCTTAGTTGCATCTACGGACTGTATTTGGTCTGGACGAAGGTCTGACGATAGCCAAGAGAAACAAATACAAGTCAGTTATTCCGTGGAATATGGATGGTAAAATGAAAAGAAATCTACTGTATATCGACAAAGTCATTTTCACCTCTGATGGGTCCCAATGCTGCATCGCGGGCGAGGGCTGTCAAGTCGCTACCAGAATACCCTTCAGTTTGTCTGAAAGACAAAACCAGACAGACAATGCGTCAGCGGTCCACAAACAAGGGTAAGGAATGTTTTAACGACGGGGAGGGGACTGAATCATAGTGGGAAAACTAAAAGTTAGCTCGCTGTACTCTTCGATGGACTGGCATTGAGATGTATCAAGCCCAATACAAAGCAACACCCACTGAAGTAGAGCAAACAAGGAAATTCCAGGACTTGTCTACCCGTGTTGCAAATATTATTCATTTTGCGGGCCATTGTTACCTGGCGAGAGACTCCATCTCCGATGAGCTTAGTGGGTTGTGATTCTTGACGAGAAGTTTAGATAGGAGGACTTTTCTAGTCTAAAAAATCAAACACAAATAGATTGAGCAATGTTAGTTCAATCAGTAACTGTCTCTAAGAGTAAAGTTAATATACACTTTCAGTACTACTGTACAATGAATTGCAGTTATCCTTTACATACCTCTTTGTCCGGTAGGGGTACATACACACGTTTTACCATCCGCCTGCCGAAAATAATTTACAATATTTCTGAATGACAAAGGAATAAGAAGGCAAAAAAGGATACCACATTGCGAAAATGTAACCTAAATTTGAAATTCAAATCTAAAATTTTCTATAGAAAGACATATTCAACCAACAACTACAATAACAACATCAACAAAAAAAGGTCTTTTTTTAAAGTTCTGTTTAGCTTTTGCAGGGAAAAATCCCAGACCAAATGATACCAAAAACGAAAAATCAAGAACGAGTTGATCACACTGTAGGTTAAATAATTTACAAACAACAGGTAATAAAAAAAGTACATCCAATCAAAAACGGTGAACCCTTGTTGAGGTAAGTGGCTGGGCCACGCAGAAAAAAAAAACAGGTAAAAATTGCTGAAGAAATATAACATAGACCTACAGTGTGCTCAAACACATCATCAATATAAAAATAAAAAAAAACACAGCAACAACAACAAAAACAGAAGGCTGTGCACTCTCTAATGTAGATTCCCAGTAAATAAACCACTGATTTTTTTACATAGTATTTCAAATGTTTTTTCTTGCATGTTAAATCCACTGTACCACATTATTAGTATAAATATAAGTACATATTATGACAAGTCAGTTTAGTAAAAATCTTCAACTGGTGCAGCACCTGAGAGCTGCATCATCAAGTTCATTTGGTCTGTTGGTGGCTCCCATCACTAATATTCGCTCATTTGGATCAGCAATGACCTGTGGGAAGTCAGCATGAATTTACAACACAAACAATCAAATAGTAAAATAATCAGAGGCCATCAGGTATTTCTCTCTTCAATAAAATCCATGAAAATCAGAGAAAAATAAGTATACAAAAAAAAAAGGGAAAGAAAGATGAAACAGATCACAACCTTTTTTTATAAATACACAGGACATACATACTGTACATTTGTGCTCATAGGTTAAAAATGCCACTTTTCATGACAAGTGCAAACGCCAGTTATTTTATTATAACTACTTACTCCATCAAAAGAAACTAGGAACTCTGTTTTGATTCTTCTGCTGTGCTCTTGCTCCCCCTCCTTTCTCTCACATAGAAGAGAATCCACTTCATCTGAAATTGTAACCATTGTGAGCCATTTAATACCCATATCATGCTGCACAAATTAACACTCGGGCCAAATCATTAGGTGCACCTACCAATAAATATTATACTGGGCTGCAGTTCTCTAGCAACAGTAAACAGAGTTCGCACGAGTTTTTCGCCCTCACCAACCTGTCAAATATAGATAAAAAGTTATAAGGTCAACCTTTTGATCTCTAAGAGTGATAAGCATCTAATTTCTCCTTACAATATCACCCCTAAATAACACATAAAGGTCCTGAGAGTAAAGGAAATGATTATCAACTAAACAAGCTCTTGATTGTTAAACAAATTTTTGTTGTCAGGGCCTTAGGAAATGCATAGAGAACAGGGCTAAAAATTGGCGGTCGCACAATCACAAGTGGTGCATTAAATTGACTAGGGCCACCAAAAGTTAAGGTTTGAATGCCTGATGTGCAACAATGCTACAGAATTTCAAAAAGTTGCAATGTAAATTATGTGAAGTACAAAGTTAAAAATAAAGCTCAATATGTAATTTAACTGGACTACTATTCTCTTCGTTTCTTTGCGTGGATTCTAAGATCATCCATTTTAGTGAATTTTTAGTTCTGAAGTGGAAATTCCAAGCTGTTTTAACAGAAATTTCACAAGCGATCCACATTCACAACATATAAAACTATATTAAACTAGAGGAAATGGATGGCTACTTCATTTTGGGATGGGCCACTAAAAATTCAAGGAAACTGGCCCAACTGGCCACCAAGCAATTTTTAGCCCTGAGAGAACAGTAAGAAAATGCATCCTTATCATAGGGTGTAAAGAGTTAAGAAACTAGACACCATGCAAGCATAAAAAAAATCATTCTTTGCAAAGTAAGAATTTATTAACCCCGTAATTCATTATAAGACTCCTCAGTTACCTTATTTTAAAGGAGTACAGATGATCTGAAGCTGCCATCCAAAATCATCTCAAAAATATTTAGTAGAAAAATTAGAACTGATATGAACTTTTTCTTACCCATTTGGATGTGAGAGTGGCAGCACTTATATTAAAGAATGTTGCTTTTGATTCACTAGCCACAGCTTTTGCCTGAGCAAAAGAAAACAAAAAACAAAAAAAACCAGACAAACTGACAGATATTTTCATCACAAGTGGGGTACGTCCTTTACAGACTGTTGATGATGAAATGTATGTAGAAGGTTTTAACCAAAAGACAGCCATAAGATCTTGTAGATAAAATCATACTGGGTGCCGATTCATGAGGGAAAAGAAAACAAACAAAAACACAAACTATAGGAAATGATGCAGAATGGGTGGCAAGAGAGTTGTTCTTCATTGACACAATCACATTCATTTTCAGAATGAAAGCATTAAAACATTTAAAGTCATGTTTGTTGAAAAAGGATATCATATAAGCTTACCAACATAGTTTTTCCATTGCCTGGTGGCCCAAATAACAACAGTCCACGAGCTGGGGCTCTTAAACCAGTGAAAAGCTGTAGAGGATTGAATGTGCAGTAAATATAATGCTATTACATAGTTTGAGGCATTAATTTTCTGTCGAACATATTTACATCACAACCTACACATATCTTACATGCTAACTTTTAAAGAAATTAATAATGTAGATGATAAATACCTCAGGCCTTAAATATGGAAGGATAATTATTTCTTGAAGGAGTTTCTTAGCACTTTCTGCACCAGCTGAAAAGATGAAATAAAAGATTTTTTGATTGACAATTTTATGAAATTTAATGCAAATATCATGCTGTAAATGATAAATAAAAAAAAGCTAAGAAGAACAATCATGGATGAATGGGCAATCAAACCAAAAACTAAATCCAGCCTTGTATGCCATCTTCCAACTTCCTTGCAATCATGGGTGATCCCAGTTTAAACCCAGTCCTCTGACATTTATTTTAAGTGTTGTATACTTGGTAATTTGTACTATGGCTCAGAGACCTAAGGTTTGCAGTTTGAGTCCCAGGCAAGTCTACAAAACCCTTTGGCAAGCAGGAGACAGCATGTAATTTTCATATGCTGAAATGCAAGTGTTTATTTCCTGCTTCCAAAAGGTGATGACAAACATTAAAAAATAAAAGGTTGCTGTAAAATAATGGAACACATTTAGAACTTACCTATATCATCAAAGTGCACTGGGGGGCCACTAGGATAAAAAAGAGAAGAAAAATACATTTGAATGAATAGAAAAGAACCATTCCATATTGTTGACCCAAACACAAGAGAAACAAGTTGACTTTTTCACCACTTAATGATTGAGACTTTAATGCTATTCACACAGGTTGCAATACAGCTGTGAAGCATTCACTTGGTACCTTTCAATAATTTCATCCAATATATGATCGGCTAACTTGGAATCAACATTCTTGAGACGTGATATTTTCCTCCTTTTTTCATCCATTTGCCGTGATCTGTCATTCTCAGACCCAACTGAAGGCTTTGACTGCCTTGTCTAAGAAAATTACAATGTCATGTATCACTTATAAATGTATCTCAAATACCTAGCTCAGATTATTATCCTTTGTGATGTGTATGTAAATGCCAGGGCAAATGCACACAACATTTCAATGCAACATTGTTGTGTGTAATGTGTTGCAAATGTTTGGCTACCCTGAAGCAATATATGGCAACTTTCATATCCTTTTAATTCTCAGAGTGTACTTCAAATTTCAAAATTAAAAATAATTATCAAATGAAACTAACTAATTTTTCTGCCATTCTATGCCAGTACTGTTCTTTGTTTACATTTTTGAAATGAAGTTAAAATTTATAACAAATGGATGATGGAGTACTGTGTACCTGTGTAGGATTCCTCCTGCTTGCGAGAGGGCTCCGTCCTGCAATGGTTGGTCTGGCAGGCACTGAAGTTGACGCAGTTTTTTTCGTTACAATCCTACTCGGAACTTTTGAATTAGTAGCAGTGCCAGTTGCACTATATGAGGAATTTGACTTTTTTGGAAGTACCATTGTGCTTTTTGTTGAAGGTGGCTTCTTCACATTGTTTATAGGGTCAGCTGTTTCTTCAGCTTTGACTTCTTGGGCCACTTCTTCCATTAACTTGGCAGCTTCTTCCTGGTTAATAGTTGATGCTGACAATAGTAACGCCACTAAAACAAAAAATTTGTTTATTTAAACCTGCATATAATGATCCTGTTATGGTAATTGCCTTATACACTGTGGATGGCAGACACCAAACAACATCCCAAAAAAACATGTCTTACATGGACTTTGAGGTTAACTTCTAAATAGCTGGCCACAAAAAAAAAATAAAAAGGACACTGTCATCCTTTAGAATTATCAACTCCCATCTCTACATAACAGTCACCAAATTGAATCATGGTAAGCAAATCATGACAAGCTTCATTCAACAGCTCATTAAATTGTAACTACCAGGGCAGGGATCTCACAACTTGTAACATTAGACTTAATAAAAACTACAACCTATAATTCAAGCCACCAACTATTAAGAAACACTATTTGCCCTTTTACAAAAAGGTCTGTCAAGACCTCTACGATCAATTCAACAAATAGATTCTGAGTTGCCATCTGTTCAGCAATTAATACATGTAGATTATGGATGATGGGCGTAGCTGAGTTTGTCATTGATACAATTTAAGTATAAACAAATGCAATTTACTGTGTTAACCTACCTAATTCATCTAATCTTTCTCTTGTATTTTCCAGATTTGATTTCATTTTATCTTGCAGCTTTCTGGCTTTTTCCCATTCCTCTCCTGTGAATCAAGTATATTTTGCATTAAAAACTGTCTAACTGTGGGCATAAGTGGAGAATAAAATTAAAATGGTTTGAAACAGTTTGGATCTCAGCTGAAGGAGGATGAGAAGTTACACCCAGGAAAAATTTGGGGTACAATAATGTTAGAAAGGTTGATTAGTTGGTACAACATACCTTCTCCATCACAGTTAATCTGTAGTCCTGTCTCCATTTCACCAATTCCTTTCCTGTAGAATTCTACAGCTCTTCTTTTCGATGACAGGCCCCCTTTGGGTGATAAGAATCAAGTTGGTATTAATTTTATTTCGTTTACTTGTAAATATTATCAAAATATAATATAATCATAACAATTTGAACTATCTGAAAGACTACACAATCCAAGCCTCACTACAATGCACACTGGAATCGAGAACGAAGCTGTGCTCTTTCTTAATAAGAACATCTGAATCGGATTTATACAGACAAGGATACTGCTTAGTCATAAATTCAAAACACAATTCTTCCCATGAATATGTACATGTACACGTGTGTCGGTTAAAATTAAATGTTTCAAGGAAGTAATTCTGACCTCCCTCTTCGTCGATTTCCAGGGCCTTTGCAATGTAGCCATAAGCTTGCTTGTGATACGCCCTGAGATTAGCTATATCTCTCGGTAAACCATCATCGCCTTCATCTAAAGAGCTCTGAGATTTACATGGACGTCTTCCATCTCGAGGGGACCTAGAGGCCATGTCTGCAGGTATGTTCGAGTAACGCGCCCTTTTAGACCAGATCCGTTCCTTTTTACGGCCAAACAAATTTGACCACAACAAAGTCACAAACACGAAACAAAAAGCATTCCATAATGACACGAATGGAGAAACTAACACATCTAGATAGCCATTAGGAGACATTGAATTCCGGGAAAAACATGACAAAATAATTTCATTACTTGTCTTGAGCGATTTTTGAGCATACAATTTAATCAGCGGCTTCTACCTAAGCCCTATGCGCCGGTCAAATATTATGATTCGTGCCCAGCCTTACCCCACATTCCTAACTAAACCAACTTCGCAATCATGAAGGCTTTTTGAAGCAAATAAATTCTACATTGAAACGCTGCCCATTCCTGGAGAATGATGATATTCACCTGAGTATTCACCAATTGCTCTGGGGGGGGGGGGGGGGAGGGGATAAGGCAGTAGGTTTCTTACAGAAAAGAAGGAGGAGCCTACCAGAGAGTTAACCAGGCTATCTCTTCTCGCCGCTTCCTGAAAACGAGGTTGAGTGTTTCCTATCAAGTAACACTTTCGCGTGGTATCCTATGGAACATGTCTACAGGTCACAGACGTCTATCAAATCTCCTTACACTTTTCAATTTTTTCTTTATCTTCTTCGAAAAATGCTCATCCAGTACTAATTGAAGGAAAGAAAATATGTGCCGAAATTGCGCATAACCGTGATCAAAAATGTACATCTCGCGAAATAAACAAGCGTGGTTCTTCTTCACTGCCTCTACATGCAGAGGGGAGAAGTAAATACGTACAGAGGTTAATGAAAGAGCATTGGTTTCAGCCCATAAAACTAAGAGAAATGATCCATCATGGCGATCAGGATTAAACTGCAAGATAACGGTTTTTTGTCGAGTAATCCCCTTACTATAGCTGTGAAATTCAGGTTTTCTTTGTACTGTTTTTATTACTTTTTCTCGGAGTGTATATTGTGTTTGCCTTAAGTATGTTTTGTAAAAATTCAGCGGATAAAATGATGCTTTTCATCGCTGTGACCAATCACAGAGCGAGTCTTACAATTGTTTTGATATTAGCTGTAAGAAAAATAACTCACTGGAAGAAAAGAGAACCTGTTTAATTACAAAAAGCAGCAGCAGCAGATGTTTAACGTAGCACCTATTTTTTCGCAAAAAGCCCCCAGACACTTGCAGACGGTTCTAAAAATCCACAAAATTGTCGCATAAATGCGTGATGTGTAATCATGACGCATCGAACAAAAAACGTTTTCTATTTCTATCTCTTTCTTATATTTTCTTTTAAGACAAGAAAAAGCCACCTTCAATTTGACGGCAGCAGTGCCTTGAGGCGAGAAATTCATTCGCAAGGATCTGATCATAGAGATCTAGTGACATATGGAAATTTCATAGTTGACAAGTTCTCCTCCTTGCAAGACAATTGCAACAGTGAGGGTTTAATATGGTCAGCGATAGATCAGATATGAGCAAAGTTAGAATTGGTATATTGGGAAACAATGAGAATAACTTAGTAACTTGCGATTCAAGAATTGGGTCTGGCTCGGGTGGGAAGCACAACAACGATGTATCTTGCGGTAACAATGGTATCAAAACCATTGGTTACATCTTAGTGCAATGACGAAACTTGTTTCAAGAAAAACACAGTTCGCTGTATGATATTTGTTTCCAATTGTATATATTATAATATAAATATTTATTGGCAAAAAATATCTGTTCACTGTTCAATGATGTAAGCGGCGATTTTCTACAATGCAGAGAATAAGACTGAAAACTTCGACTGCTATAAAAAAGTACCAGTTTTAAGCTTTTCTTCGTGTTCTTCCCATTCGAATTCTTACCCACTAATGGAAAAAGTGTAAAAGTAGCAATGATGATGATAATAATAGTAATGATAAAAATTTTAATAGCAATAAAAATCATTCACGGTTAATTGAGGAAAACATAATTTTTCTCTCTTTTTCGGCGAAGATTGCAGATACTTTAAAATAGTGAACCGTTAGAAAAAATATTAGAAAAACTGCTACTCATGAAAGATTTAAAAATGCACAAATCAATAATTAATCAGAATAGGTTTGACTTTTAGCTTTTGACACAGAGCCAAGTTGTGCTTAGCTTAAATGAAAAACAGACTTTATGAATATATAAAAAACAGACCCAATAATGTATGCCTCGTTTTGTTTAAGCGTTTTTTGAACAATATGTGTAAATTACTTTCTGTCAATTATTAATTGTCAGCTTCATGTGCGTAATAAATAATATAATATAAAAAATTACGTTTTCAAGAAATTTTAACCAATCAGAAAAGAGATTTTGCCATAATTTTAATAAGAGCTGCACACAGTGTAACGTTGAAGAAAAAATAAAGCTGTTTAAATCATAGACACGACCACAGATATCTACTATAACATCCTCCGTTGTAAAAAAAGGTGTTAAAACGTGCGAATAAGGAAATGTTTCCAAAATCCACACTTGTTATATGATGATGTCAATGTCACATCGAACAGTGGATGTTTTTTACGCTTCTCTCCTACTTTTCATTTCTCTGAAGAAGGTCGAAAGCTTTCAACTTGATGGCAACAGAGGTTTGAGGCGAGAGATTCAGACACATGGTGCTGAAAGTCGAGTGTCATACGGAAACTTTGCGGTTGACAAATTCCATCGTCTTCAAGTATCAGTTGGTTCATCCAGATTTGTGAGCGACTTCAAAGAGTGCGCTCTGAGCTGTGTCAACAATCCGCCATGTTCATCATTCAACGTCGCCTCTTCTGCTCGATCAGACGGAAAATTGCGTTGTGAGTTGTTAAACAAAGATAAATACTCGGCAAGTCCAGGCCAGCTGGTTAGTTCACAGGAATATCATCATTACGAAATCAAGGTACGTAAAGAAGAACATTGATATAATCCATTTGTATATCAGACGCGGTGGTGCACCAGATGAGAGCTCTGTAAAATAGAGGTCTTTACTTCCATAACAATCCTTTTAAAGTGGTTTTTAGATCTCTCTTTAGAGATCATGGACGGATCTAAAAATATTTAGCAGTTTGGGGTGCATTTAAATCACATGGACAATGCTTAGGGGTTCTTTCCTTATCCCCACCAGAGCAGTTTATGGCCCAAAAAGAGAAAGCATACGTGTAACCTCATTTGCTAGAGAGAAAAGTACTGTACTAGGCTCTCGTTCCTTAAACTTGCATTCGTGCGAATAATCGCTGATTGCCGTGCCCCTTCATTTCTGCTCGTATTCATTGACTGACATAAGCCGCTCTGGAGCAGAAAAAAATGATTAATTCGAATTACTGCAGCATTTTATCTCGTCTACAGACACCATGCTCAAGCTTTCCTTGTCAAAACGATGGAACTTGCGTTCCAGATTATTCTGAAGACCAATTCCATTGTGATTGTCATCCTGAAGACTTTGGGAATCTTTGTCAAACAAGTAAGAAAGCAGTGTAAACATTTCTACTTTTCACTTCTTTATTTGTAAATGGGGTAGAAAACATCTAGAGCTGTTTTATTGTTTGAGTTATGTATCCAGTCATGTGGATGGTGGAGTGATCTGATTAAGACAGGCGCATTTAAGAGATTAACTTTTAACTACGTCCCCTTGTTCAAGCCTGTAGGCTTGGTCATTAGCTTGTATTTCTACAAAATTTTTTTAATCTTTTATTTTTATCGTTTAGTGCTTATGTCTTTTTTCCCTTTCAGCGCTAACGTCATGCAAAGAAGCGTACAATTTGAACAGGTGAGTTGTGCCGACGTCTGGTGTCTGGCTTATAGGTACCTTGGTCTGAAAAAAAGACAGAACCAATTCAAACCAGTAAAACCATACTAAGTAGCTAAATATGGTAAGCAAAGAATGTTTACTTGGAACGAAAATCTGAATACTCCATTGAGGACGAGAATCATTTGTCCTGGGATCAGGAATTTTTCAAGAATCAGAGGATGTCTTCCTACAGAAGACATTTTTCTGACACATGCATAAAACTCACCATCACCAAACCAAAGAAAATAAACTTCTCCATAGCTCCTTGAACCTTTTCAACTAAACAGGGAAAAGGAGGGTTTGAAAACACGATTGTTTTTTCCAAAATTATCCCCACCCGTGCACGCACCAGCATTACTCTCCACAATGAGATCGTAGTTGGTAAAAGGGAAAGGAATATTTCAGAGTCTAAAACTGAGTCTTTGAAAGCAATAAAACATAAATTTCTCAAATTGTATGATTATCATAGGTCAAATACCATTAGCCAGCTGATGAAGCTTAAAATTGATGGACGGCCCGCATCAGTTTATTGTCACATGGGAAATTTTGGATGCGGAGACGGTGGATGGACAACGGTCATGAAAATCGATGGCGATAAGGTGTAGGATCATTCATCATTTGATTGTGTATTTTTATCGTCCGAAAGAGCAAGAAAATCTTGAAAAAGACTGTTGCCAGTGGATGAAAAGCTTTATTCTTTCTTTAGTTCTTACGTAATCTTTTCACCTAATCTTTCTCAGTAGAGTGTGAAAATGTACAAAAACTAGGGAACATAATAATCAGACACAGAGAAGTGATGCCTTCAGCAGCTTGTAAAAATCCATATAATACCTACTACAAACGACATTAAATGATTTACTCTCATATCTGTTTCTTTGGTAGAATACCTTCAGATATAGCTCGGGATACTGGAGTGATCGAAATGAATACAAACCAAGAGGAGGGGAGACTGGGTTTGATTCACAAGAAACAAAGCTACGCACTTATTGGAGCACACCTTTCAGAAAGATATGCCTCGGTATGAAGATCAACCAGCAAACCCATTTCATTGTCCTTAACCAGCAAGCAGACTCGTTGTACTCTCTAATCGCCGACGGACAGCTTCGCACCACCACGTTAGGTCGTAACAAGTGGGCGTCGCTGATCGGTTCAGGAGTCTCCTTACAAAACTTATGTCAAAGAGAAGGCTTTAATGTGGTCAGCGATCTTGCTCATTATAGAAAAGCTAGAATCGGTATACTTGGTAACAATGAAGACCGCTGTGATACATGTGATACCAGAATTGGGTTTGGTACAGCTGGACAAATAGACGGTGTTTTTTGTGGGAACAACGACAGAAAGGCTATGGGATATATCCTGGTTCAGTGATATTTAACTCTTTGACAACTTTAGCCTTTAACTTCCTTCACATATTTAGTGAAACTAAAAATGTATTATTATTTTCGTTTGACTGCATTATTATCACTTTGCTAGTACTTACAGTATTCTTAAGCCGTAATGAGGCATTTGCATGAATACAGGTCCTATTCCTCAAAACGGACCAAACGCGAACGCCTGCAGTTGATTTTGGGTAGACTGTCTCTAGGAAACAAAACCTACATAACCATCGGATTTCGTATTATCACAATAACTGAAACCGAAAATATGACTAAAAATGTAGCAAAATTACTAGCTTCCCAATTAATTATTATGATGGATTGGTTTCATCCATCAAATTAGAGTAACTTCCAGCCGCAAGTAACTTTCGTGATTTCCCTAATGACCCATGTCAAGAAGGTAGTTGTCCACGTAAATCTTCACCAGTAATTTTTCTTCAGTTGAGTCAAAGAATGATTAATAAATCTGTTCTAAATAAATACTTCCAATGGAGCATTGATTGGTTTCAAATTGCAGATTAATTTTTTGCACAAAGCTCTCTCTGATTGCAATTACGGGAACAGGTGTTCTATACAGTTGGAGGCGAATATTTTTTCCTCCAAAATTTAAGATGTAAATTGTTTAAATTTTGTTAATGTTTTATAAAAATCTGCTAAACTGTTCGGTAATGAACCATAAGCGCTATTTTACTGCGAACAATGGGCGCTTTCTATTTCTCTCTCTTCTTCATGTTTTTCCTCTCGAGTATCAAAGGCAAGCTTCAATTTGACGGCAGCAGTGGTCTGAAGCGAGTGACGAATGTAAACGGATCTACAACTAAAATATCATTCGGCAACTTTTTCGTTGAGAAGTTTCATTGTCTTCAAGTATCAGTTGCCTCTTCGATTTTTGTTAGCAACTACAGAGAGTGCACTCTGAACTGTGTCAACAGTCCACCATGTTTGTCGTTCAACACCGGCTCGGCTGTTACTTTAGACGGAAAACTACGATGTGAGTTGTTAAACGAGGATAAATACTCTGCAAATCCAGGCCAGCTGGTCAGATCACAAGAATTTCATCATTACAGCATCAAGGTATTCAAAAGGGAATTTTAAATTCCAAACACTTGCTTCCTTCAATCAAAATAGTTGTTTATTTTTTTCAACCTTCTTCTAGTCTCCTTTAGTTTAATTTTTATGTTACCCACCAAGTTGACCTAAGGGGTATAAAAAAATACCTTTATCTTTGTTAATTTTCTTTTTTGTTGTGGAACATAAACAGAACAAAAATTTGACTTAATGATTACGTAATCAGGAAATGCAGGAATAATTGCAGAGTGATCGAAGTTTTATTTTGTCCACAGACACCATGTTCAAGCTTTCCGTGTCAAAACAGTGGAACTTGCGTTCCCGATTACAGTCAGAACGACTTTTACTGTGATTGTGTTCCTGAATACAAAGGAAAATTATGTCACACAGCCGGTACGTGAACTGTGCATCTTCAAAGTATGAATATCTAATTTTGAAAATTGTTAAAAAAATCTATGAAGTTTCATGGGGAATTTCTCTTATTGAAGCGGAGTTACATGTGATTTATGGCGCTGAGTGATTTGTTTGAAAGCTGGAATTGAATTGTACATGATTCTCTTCTATATCTAATATAGAGTGAAAATTTTCTTTAGCTAGCGCCTTTGTTAGGCGTAAACTAACCGAAAAATTAAGGAACTTTGTCACCTGAAGACGTTTTCAAGCCGACATTAATTAATGACTGAAATTCGAATTATGTCGACTGAAGATAAAAAAGATAAAATTTGCATTTTAAGAACGTGTGTTCCAGTAATTAATTTCTATCGCAAATCTGCCCGAAAAGGTGGTTACTGATTAGGAATTAAGGTCGCCGATCTGACGATTTTTCACGCTCTTCAATTTTGAAATTTAACAACTAACAACTAGTATTGTGCAATTTGTTAATTAAGCATTATGCAGACTTTTGAAAGGGTTCCGTGGGTGATCGCTTCATTAAGTTCTCACGGTAATTAGGGCTTCTCGATGGCCTGAAGAAGGCTCCAAGTTTATTACATTCTTACAACGAGACTATGTAAGCAATCTACAACCCCGCCAATAGTTCTTCGAGGATATTTTGCGATGCTTTTATTTTTCCTTTCAGTTTTTTCTTCATGCAAAGACGTGTACGATGTTTACGGGTGAGTAAAACTGGTATTTTCCCGAGTTAGGAACTCTGAGTGAGCACTCTCCTTCCTGGTCGCAAGCTTTCTCGCCAACTTTTTTTTCCTTTTTGGCAGATTTTTCAAAAACTCCTTGATCCACCCTAAGATAAATCTGCAATAATTAATGCAAAATAAACTCTGCAATAATTTACAAAGTTCAATCAAATGACAAAAGTCTACGTTCGAATCAAATTACAATTTGTATTCAAAGTGTTTTGATTCGCTTGAAATATTCATTTATTTAACACCTCATTTGAAGTTCCTTCTATACGACTTAACCAATTGAAAAAATTTGGCAATGTTCAGCTCAGGTCCTTTCACGTTAATTTTTTCTCCTGCTAAAGAATTCAAAGTCTCAAAATTTAGTTCCCAGCAGAGATTTCCGTCATCTTGAAACGCAACAATATGTTCTCGAAAAAAGAAACACAAAACGGCAATTTGCGACACAAAACTCCCACAAAATTTGCATGGTACACAATATGTGTATGCTTTTCCACCAAGAAGAAGGGGAAAACCTGTACCGAAAAAATAAGGAGGCAAATAATGTATGAAGCCTAAAAATAAACTTTATGATCATGTCTCACGTTTCTTGATTCTTAAGGTCAAATGCAACCAGTAATCAGTACACTCTAATTATCAACGGGAAGCCCACTACGGTTTACTGTCTCATCGATGATCCAAACAGTTGTGGAGGTGGCGGTTGGACGACAGTCATGAAGATTATAGGCGCCACGGTACAGTAAAACTGATTATGTCAATCTGAATATCTAACAGTTATTGGATTCGGTTTGCGCACGATAGCGAGAGTTATCAAGGCCGAAGCTGGTGTCATCTGCCGAAGCAGAAGGTTCACACTATCAGGAGACCTCTTGATTTTTATTTTTTCGTTCAAAGTACCAAACCTGTCAGTTGTGGTTGATGTCAATCGATTTATCATTCTCTACTAGAATAACAAAACTAATACGTTAAATCATGTGAAACAACGGTTTAATATCCATCAAATCCTAGGCTTTAAACTGGAGAACAAAGCTGTAAAAATTTATACCACTTTTGAATGTCTCTTTTTGATTTCTTTTCATCTCGTAGAACACCTTTTCTTTCTACTCGGCCTACTGGACCGATAAAAGTGAATACAACCCGCGTGGGGGTGAGAGTGGATTAGACTCTATTGAAACCAAGTTACAGACTTATTGGGCAACACCTTTCAGCAAGATTTGTCTTGGTATGCAGATCAACGGATATAACAGATTTCTGGTCATCGATAGACAGGCTGACTCTTTGTACTCACTCATCGCTGACGGAGAATTCCGCTCCACCTCTGTAGGTCGTGCATCGTGGATAACTATCAGTGGTAACTTGGCCCACTTGCAACCCTACTGTGGCAAGGAAGGCTTCAATGTACTCAACAGTAATGGTGATTTCAGAAGGGCTAGAATTGGTATCCTTGGAAACGACGAAGACCAATGCGAAAGTTGTGAAACCGTTGTTGGGTTCGGTTTGCAAGGGAGTGGTGGTGACCTTATTTCGTGCGGCGGAAGCGGCAACCTAAAAAGCGTGTGTTACATCTTTGTGCAGTGAAGTGGAATGGTTGGAAAAAATTTGATGCAGTTTGGCTAATCTCTCAGATTAAAAACTGTTAGAATTCGTAAAATTTTATACTTATACATCATGGTGAAGTGCAAATGTGGTATAGTACTGTCGTTTGTCTTGCCATTTTGATGTCACTTAGTTGCAGATAGAGGCGATCCGCCCTCATACTGTCGGTTGTTTTTGTAGTTATTGCGAAAGCGTTGGTAGTCATGCAACGCAGCGAAGTACATTGATGATTAAGTACTGTGGTATGTCTCGCGACGTTGTCACTTCTTAAGTTGGCAGGCCTTCCCTTAGTAGGTAGTCGGTGATCCTCCTCTTTACATGATACTAAAACAGAAACCTTTCAAAACATCTCCTTGGAGTCAGTTGAAAGTTTTCCTTTTCTCTCAAACTACAGTACATTGCAAAATAAAAGTGGCCACTTTAACATCGGGTAACATTGCAATGGGGGAGAGGGGGAGATAGAATGAATGAAAGCCTGCTAAGACATTTGCCACTCATTGAAGTAAGATCCTTCTTTGTGATTGGTTAGTCGTTAACAGTTGTGTCTGACCCATTTTTTTTCCTCCCTGATCTGGGATGTATTCTCTGAAAGGTTCGCTTTTTTACCGCTTAAATGTAGCTTGTGTTTTATTCTTGGTCGTGAAATTTCTTCTCCGTGGGTATTTGACATTCTATGACTAGCGCCAAGTTATAAATTAACGTATCCTTGAGGATCTTCAATTAACTTTTTAAACCACAGGCTGGGACAAGAGACCGATTGAAAATCAATCGCACATACAACGGCCTCATAAACTTTCGACTTTTATTTGGACTTACATTCTTTTTCTGTGGTATATGAAATATATAAAAAATTCACAATGCAAGGAGTAAGTGTTTGAGAAATTGACATTGTCCGCTAAGGTATCTCGTGGCCTTTGTAGAAATTCGAATAATTCCCTCACGAGATATATTGCATCAAACACTAAATGAGTCGATATGAACTGGACACGCTTAAAACACTATTTCGTACTGTATATACACGTATCCTAAAAATCTGAACAGACATGTATACAGCATCTAAATATGCACTGCCCCTGAACACAGCAGTGGCTTGAAATATATTTATCTTCTTGCCTGAGTATAATACAGTAGTTGATGGCGTTTTTGTTGTTTTTGCTGGTTCTAACGGTTTAATTAATAACACACCCTT